TAGTTCTAATGAAGACGCGAGGATGACGTCTCATACAAGCGTCTAACATATTCCCATCTAATTAATGGCTTAGTCAGCTAATACCTTGGTCAACGAGAACACTGACCTCGTCCATGGCTCAAAGGTCCTGCGTGTTTGCATTCGTCCTATCCGTAATTTGCTACCTGATTCGTCTGTCGCCATCGCACGCCATTGTTGAACGCAACGCGACGTGTCACCACACTTAGCATGTCTGGTTCCAAGTCTCTCACGCAAAACCATCTGCAGTGCGCATCAAAGATGTCCAAACTTGACTTGCCGGCATTCTCTGGTACGACAGAGCCTGGCTTGATTGTTGCGAAGACAAATATTTCACGTGGTCTGCCTTGAACCTGGTATATACGATCTCTCCCTGACTACTTATTGTGTTTGCGGGCCTCCAGCTGGAAGACCGAGCGCGAGACTTTGGCGCCGCCGCCGCCCGCCCTTGGTAGAACCAGAATCGTGCCAGTGGTGTGCTCAAACAACTTACCATGTGGAGGGAGTTTGCCTCGCGTCTCAAGGATCGTTTCATGTTCTCCAGCTGACGTCTCGATACCCTCGCCCGTTTCTACAACGTCTCGCAAGACTTCGGTGACTTCTGCGCCTCCTTAGAAGAAGTTCGAAACACGCTTTATTCAGCGAATCACGGTTATGCTATCGGTGACTGTTTTCCAAAACCACCTCTTCTTTGCCAATTCCGTGTTTCAACTTCGTGTCCAGGCCATACCAAACTTTGCGTACGAGAACTCGAAAGTCAACGCACTGATCAACGCCATGGCAAGTACGCAGTGGAGCCTCGTCGCGCAAGGCTTCACGGTGTTCGTACTCAAGTCAATGCTCGAATCTGCTCCTATGCCTAACACGCACGCATTAAATTCTCCGTCTCCTCTACATATGCCGAATGAGAGGCCTTGAGCTCAGTAGAAGGTTGTTTCCACTCTCATCTGTCGCCATCTGACCCACCTGGAAGTCCCATGTTGCTCTTGAGTGTCCGGGTGACGAGCGATGCAATATCCCTCTGCGAGCTCCTCATCCCATCGCAGAAGACACCCTACATGAGGATTATTGTGAGGTCCTGATATCTTATAACAAACCCGGAGTCATGGACCAAAAGGTTGGTACCATTACCGTTATCCTACCTCTAGGTGTGGTTGTGCCATCATGTGTCCTCGAGGGCGACCCCGACAGTGATGAGGATGATGACTATTGATGCTTTCCTGAACTGTTCGCCGGGTTATATTCTTATTCTTTTTGGCCCCTTCTGTACCATGGATTCTTCCGTCTGTCGTACGTCTCTGATGTTTACCTTCCCCCTTCCTTGCACATTGTTGGGACTGCCTCGGACATCGGTGTTCCGTTTGAAATGTTTTTTTCTTAATACTTGACATGGGGCATCGGGATTGACTTGATGTTTTCCCCAGCCTGTACATTACATTGTCCTACAATTCAGATCGCGGTTCTGTTTACTTTCGCATCTCCGTTTCTCGTCGTTGGCTGGCGGCATGTTTGAAGAGAATACTTACATTATAATAACAAGCGGTGACCTTCGGGCGTTGTGTTGTGTTGGCACACCCATGTCATTCCACTACAAAAGCAGACATTTATATTTGTATTTCTTTCTCCTTATTGTCTCCTGAGAATAAACACGCACGGAACAATGCAGTATATAGTTGACCATGAGCAAGGCTTAAACCAATTAATGTATGATGTGTTCTCTCAGCAATAGATGGTGCAGGTGGTAGCCATGTACAGCTGATAGTGTCGTGAAGGTGGAAACAAAATAGAACAGCTGAAAAGGAGGGCACGTAGATAGATTGCAAATACCCAGCACAGCAGGGTGGACACAATTGACACGTCGAGCCAACGGCTATTTGTATCAGAAATCGTCACGGCGTTTGCGCCTCAACTCCCCGATAGCACTTTGAATTGAATTGATTTATGAGCATATCGGCTCAGCCGACAGGAAGCCAAATTGCCAATAGCTGAGCAGCCTCCCTCACGAGTGGTGCGCGTGGCTCGCCAGTTTCAAATCATATTCGTGTCACGTACTGAAAATATAATCAATGCGTACATACTATGGATTCGGACAGACCAACATGTGCTGACAACGTTTTGTTCATTTGTAATATCTATACCTGCGCACCATTACTCAGTAGGAAACACGTTGAGTATGTCAAGACAAATATGGGGCGCAGCTGACACCGTGCCCTATGTTTATCTCACTCTTGCTAGAAGTTTAATAAACATTTAAACTTGCTTACTATTTTCAGTGGCGAAGCCACAGATATCTGCTAGTTATCGAATAACGAAGACGGGACATATCCTGCAAAGCCGTAGGGTCAGAGCCTACAACACCCAATGTGCAGAATTGAAGTGCCAGCCACAGGTAAAAAGCTCAGAGCTACCTCCTCGATTGTTTCACGGTAGTATCAACATAATTTTGTAGATGTGAAGGTGTTGGCTACGAGCAGAGGATTTAATGAAGGTTCCATGAATGTATTATGAAAGGAGCCACCAGCAAGAGCAAGCATGAATGCTTGGCCAGGTGGGTGCAGGGCATTCAGATAGGACTGATGGCGAAGGATCTCGCGAAGAGAAGTTTTCAGTTCGGGTGCTGTGCCAGGTGGGTTCTTTGAACAGAGCCAGGACAAATAGCACGGGCCGAATGTGCGTACAAGAAGACAGGTGTCAGTAACGATTATTTTCATTCGCCCACGGTCTGCCTAGGGAAGACTAAGAGCAGGTTGAGAAACAGCCCATAAATAGTTTAGAAGAATATTGATAAATGGGGAGAAAAGGGTGCGACCCGATGTTGTTATGTGTGAAGAAGGCCAGCGGGGATTTACCGGCGCCATAATGAAAAATTCGTTCGTGTAGTAGGTGCAAGCTTGATCAGCGGTGAGTTTGATGTTGCTGCGAGTTGCTTGAAGGTAGTCTTGAACCAACGTTTTGGGAAGACGCCCCAGAATTGCACTCTGGTTTGTCTAGTTCAAAACTGGACTGGCTTGAGGTAGCACCTCCGTACCAAATGATGTTGGAATTTTTTTTCTAAAATACCTCGCGGATCGTCCCAAGATTCCATTGGACGTTCGGAGCTGGGACAATCATCAAGTGTACTCGCTTACCTAATTAAAGTTCACCTCCGTCTCACGATGTCAGTCGAGGGCGAACTCGTTTTTGGATCTCGATCTCGTAGGCCGCCACCATGAACACTCCCAGGAAGGGTGGAAATGTATTACGGCCATTAGACCCTGAATATAGACATGGCTCATTGCGAGGCAACGTTTCACCATAGCCTAATTGTCATAGTAATGACATATACACATGAACTTTGCTTGGCGAAGTTTTATCACGGAACATTGTCGGAAACACGGGCATTGAAACCAACTGTTGAACGGTTGCATTGGCGAGGCGGGGTAAAATGATGGATAAAATTAGCACCATAATGATACATAGTCATGAGCATTTTACTTGCCGGTTTCGCAGGCGTATTCCATCAATAACAAATACACGTGCGAATTTGTATGTTGTAAATTTGGACCTCTGAATCTTGGGGATTGGTTAGCAAGAGTATAGCAGTCGCCAATGTTTCTGACGAAGACTAAATACATCAGTGGTGGTCATAGGTATGGATTCAAGACAAACGGAGTTCGGTGGACATTGAGAAGTAGACCCGGGCTGGTAGAAGTCTGAAGGTAGAAATCAGGAAAAATCACTATATATGCATATACAATAAGTCGTAGAGCTTACCGTGGTGGAATAAATGACAACACATCATGATGACGGGTGAGTGAATTCCGTGAGTAGTTTGGCTGTGTTGTCAGTAGATTCTTAGCATGCAGATCGGCCATAGAAAGAATATATCAAGAACGAGTCTGTAACGGTCACGGGCCAAGAAGACGAGTAACTGATTAGAATCACATAAGTTACTGTCGGTGTGAATGAGTTGGGAATCAAAGTAGCACTTAACGTTTATTGTTATTGAATCCATAATAGTGGCAAACTAGTCCTTGATGCATTTTAATGGCGCATGACCACCATCACGGGGAATGTTTGGACATCATGATTCATGATCACGGTAGCGAAACGTTTCACGTCAAGGCTGCGTGCCATATGCGGTATCTTGAGAATTTTTCACAAAAATTTGAATAAAGATATGTCCTCCTCAGTTGCCTCCTGCACTTCTTGGAAGTCGAAGTACTTGATGAGAATTGAATCCTGTAGGATCAATTATTTTTGCGGCGCGAATAGTCGTGGTTTCTGTGATTGTACAAGTTGTAGAAATACTGATCGACGAGAACGCGTTGTTTGGTTGTGTTGTTACATTAGTCTGTTCCGTTCAATCCTTGAAATTACACACCGGTATAGCTACTCGAACGGGTTGCCGCCACATATCCCGCCAGTGCTTTAACGCCTCCACGACAGTATCACGATTCTAATCTGTAACTCTACCTTTTTCTTCGTTTTTTGTATTACTGGCACGGGCCCGGCCTGTCTTGCTTCTTCTCCTCTCCGGCGTTCATATCTTGTGGCGGCTTTATCGGTCTGTTCATTCTAATTCGCTCTGTTCTTCCATCTTGAAGCACTTTTGCTACTATCCTGACACTACCTCTCTTGTTTGTTTCAATCGCCTGGCGCAACTTTGGTCCTGCGAGTGATCCCATTCGCATAGCAGAAGGCGCTCGGACTGTGGTGCGAGTGAGCTGTCATTTTTGTGCGTATTCTTTCTTGGCCCTTGTTCGTGGATGCATGTCAGCGACCTTACAGTTTATGACTATCAGTCACACAGCGCCCGTAGCTACAGCAGCCGCCAGGGATAACATCTTGCCTTGGAATTAACTAGTCTCACTCGACCATCTTGAGTGTCGGCCCGCAAAACCGTAAAAGAGATGCCCACAGCTCATCTTCACATTAATACAAACGTCATTCGTGATACAAGCAGTTTGAAAAGACCGAATGATGCCTCCGCTCCAACCCTGATGAACTTAAATATGGCCGTTACCCGGGTGAGGAGTGGGTCCACGGCGTCAACAACATCCTCCATCTCTGTCGACTCCCCCGGTCCATCATCTTCTTCTGCTTCCTCGTCATCCCTCGACCTGCCTGATTCCGAAAAGTCATCCCGCCCCCTCCATTACCCCTTGGCAAGTCCGTCAGATGAGACTGTTCGCGTCTCCCCCTCTCCGGAATTCGTTCTTGCATTACATGACTTTCACCCTCAGCACCAGAATGCAACTTGTTTGTCATTTCGAGCTGGTCAGGTTATTCATGTCCTAAATCGGGATTCGAGTGGATGGTGGGATGGTGAGATTAACGGTCAAAGAGGATGGTTCCCCTCCAATTACGTCAGTGCTGATGAAAGAGTAATTTCACTGGCGGAGGAAGTCCTTCCTCAATCACCTGTATGTCGTTATCAAAGCAAGCAGTTTAAAGTATTAACAACATCGTCTCGCTTGCACTAGGGATCCCGCCATGGACATACTATGTCCGCCGTATCCGCGGCTTCTTGGGCTAGCGCTCCCTCACGTGGTTCGCGAAAGGACCACAGACCGTTGGTCACTGAAGCTCTTGGATCTGACATAACATCATACTGCCCTCCTATCATGGTCAATCTTTTGCACAGTTTAGCCCTCCTCCAGAGTGCAGTTCGTTCCAACCGCATCGCCCATTTTCAGCCTTCCACTGCCTGTATCATATCCTGTGTGCGGTTCATCTTGTCATCGACAGAGTGTTTGCCTAGGGAGGCACCTTTATTAAAGCGCTTCCCCACCCTCGCGCAGGAACGGAAACAGATTTTGTCCGTTCTGGCATCCCTGGTGTCACAAGCTAAAAAGGCATCGGATGAGACGCAGGATGAAGATTTACGGGAGACGGAAATTGAAGGAATGTTGAAATTAGGTGGCCAGGTCTTTTCACAAGTTCGGCGTTTTCTTGCTGTCGCTGTACAATGTGGCATCGACTTACCGGAAAGGCGTCAGCCTGTGACTCCGGACGAAGCCATCGCTAATGCGTCTGGCTTGCAGGGACAAGTGAGCCCTGCCGGACCTGAAGACAGAATCCCAGCATCAGTATCGCCCGATTCTGTCACTCCTTCTCATTTGTCGTCTCGTCTAGCAACTCCCCGACAACCACACTTGCCTGATGGCGTCCTGCAAAAGACGGCCCCGCGGACCAAAAGTTTGGGAGATCTGAGGTTGCAGCGGAGATTAGCTGCATATCAAGATTCGGACTCTACCATTTCTCCCCTCCTGCCTCACAGAACGATACTATCCCGGTCGAAGAAGGATCAATATCTCGTCTTCGAGCGTGTCGCTGGCAAACACAAAGCCGACATGCCATCCATCAGCAGTATTTCGTCATTCTCGTCGGTTTCGTCTGGGGAATCGCCGAAACCACCGGTAATGCCCCCTTTCCCATCAGGACCCTCGACATCTTCGAAGGTGATGGAGGCTCTGAAGTTTACCCATGACCAGTATCTTTCCACTATCGCCGCCTTCATCGGTCATGCACACTCTCATTCACGATCATCACACGCTTCTAGCACAGGTCAGATGTATGATCTCGTGCGAGAAGTGGTAGAGATGGTGTGCAAGTTGCTCACTATCGTCGAAGCTGTTATGCGGCATCCCGAGATTCCACTCCACAAGATTGGGAACTTAAAGTCCGCAAAAGAGAGACTCTACACTGTCACTAGCTCCCTTGCCGAATCCGTGCGATTACTCACGGTGCCCCTTCCTCCTGACCTCACAGAGGAATCCGAAAAGGCATCCTTAATACGATCCGCTACAGCAGCATGTAAAGCGGGTGCTGATTGCGTTTCGGCTGTCAAAATCTGCTTGAATAGGGCTTCAGGAGAGAGGCAATTTATTATCCAAATACCTACAACCTCCGATTCAGACCCTGCGCCGTTCACTCCAAGCAAATTTTCTCGCAGGACTGGTCAAACCCCGGCCCTCAGCTTGCCTACGCATCAAAGCTTGTATCACAATGGCATCGACGAAGATGATCTCACCGTACAGGTTCTGACACCGCCTTCTCCTACCCCCAATGCTACTAGCGTCCGAGATAGATCTTCAGACACGTCCAATGTCACGGCAACCTCTTGTCCATCAGACGGTTCGCGTGACACTCAACCAACAACGCCAGAAGGCGGCATATTATCTATGAGCGATCACGAGTTGATGAAGTCAATGGAACCTGTATCATCGCCTTCACCAGCAGTTGATGATGGACGTGCGGACGAACGGCAGGATTGCCAGACTATGGACACATTCGAGGAGCGGTTGATAAATGACGAGCCTGTCACACTACAAGTCAAGCGTGATCCCCTTGGTCATGATTCCTCTACAAGCGATGTCGTCCTTAACAATGAGGGTCACCTGGTGGCAGCGACAATGGAGGCGCTGTTCGAGAGAATGACACCCCATGACAGTATCGTAGATCCCGCGTTCTCAGCGGTCTTCTTTCTCACTTTCCGCCTTTTCTCCACTCCGCTTGCACTTGTGGAAGCACTCATCAATCGTTACAATATCATGCCTCCGTCCAATCTCTCAGAAGACGAAATGTCGATTTGGCAGCAGCACAAGGGCATCCCTATCCGCTTGCGCGTATCCAATTTTGTGAAGACGTGGTTGGAGATGTACTGGCGGTCTGAGATCGACGACATCGCTCTCTCGCACCTTTCATCGTTCACGAAAGATGCGCTCCTACATTACTTCCCTGCGCCCTCCCACCGGATTCTCGATTTGATTTCCATGCGGCAAGACTCCAACACCAGTCTTGTGAGCCCCAAGAGTGAACGTGTTCGCGACCCTGGCATGTCAATCAATCCTCCGTCATATACACTATCCGAGGTTCCACGACCAACAATGACGAAGGCATTACTGGCCACGCTTCGTGGAAAGAATTTCGACACGGTCGCCATCACTGATTTTGATGCTCTAGAGTTGGCAAGACAGTTGACAATCATGGAATGCGACTTGTACTGCGCGATCCAACCAGAGGAGGTTCTTGAGACGGGACAGGAGGGTACAAAACCGCCTATCAATGTCAGAGCTGTTTCCTCCCTAAGCACAGTCATCACGGGATGGGTTGCTGAGAACATTTTGGACGAGCATGATATCAAGAAGCGGACGTTACTCGTGAAATTCTTCATTAAGGTTGCCGATGTGAGCGAATACGAGATTGTTAGCATTCTCCCAACCGACTGTTGCCTTTCAGCGATGTACTTCATTGCACAACTTCAGTACTCCTCGGTCCATCCTAGCGGCCCTCGACTCTTCCACGATATCTCGGCTTCATCAGACTTGGCTAGTGAGTATCGTTCATATTCGCACCATTGTGTTGTTCATAGCAAATTTTCAGGGTGTTCCACATAAAAGTAAAATGCAGTTAGAGTCTTTGCGTCGACTGGCAGACCACGGGCGGAACTACCACCAATACCGAAGCAGGCTTCGCAACATCGCACCTCCAGCAGTCCCATTCTTAGGTACGACAATCCTGTTATCTGAAAGCCTTGTATGTTGACTGGTGTGAAGGTCTTTACTTGACTGATGTGACTTTCTGTCGCGAGGGAAACCCGTCATATCGCGAGTCTCCCAGTGCGCCAGGGAAGAAACTTCTTAATTTTAACAAGTACCACAAGCTGGCTCGGATTGTTCAAGGTCTGTATTCCATAATCACTGTGGGCTTCTTGACTGAAGGTTTTTTTAGACATGCAACGATTTCAGGTGTCATATAATCTTAAGAAAATTCCCGAAGTGCAGGAATACCTGCAGATGGCATTTGAGAAATCCAAGCATCACGGCGACCTTCAGGATCTCTATAGACGAAGGTTTGTGAGGTTTACAGCTTCTCTGAACGTCCACTGAGTTGGTCGTTGTAGCCTGCTTGTTGAGCCGAAGCAGCCTGCCGACACGCCTCCTCCTAGTGATATGCGGCAATTGTTCAACTGGGCAACACGTTCACAGGCACAGCCACCCACATCTACCTAGTGTTGCTTCATTCCATGTTTGTTCGGATTTGCTCGTTCTGTCTTCCGTCCTTGTTTGTTTATTCTATAATCACTCTTGCATTTTCCCCAATACGTGCCCATCCACTGCATTTTGAGTCACATTTTTTGCTGTCTGTTTTGTACTCCCACGCACGCATGGAAACCTCTAGTTAATTTCGACCCTCATCCGGCTCTGTAATATGCAACGGTATTGTGTAGACCACAAAGATACATGAAATTCAATACGACTGAACAAGACGATAAATAAATTAGAAGGTATTGTCTACATACGACTATGATTGTATTGGGTGACACAGTATCCGACTTCGTTCTTGTTGAGTTTGAGAGAGTCATGCTGGGAGCGTGTGGAAGGAGGTAGAAAAGGATATGTGTCTTTAGTCACACCGGGCCCAAAGTCGAACACAAAAGGTCGACTTTGCGTTACGCCAAATACACGGGAACTCTCGAGTACCAGGGAATAGACGGGGGATGAGTCGTTGCCTGGAGCGTGTACACTCCATCCCTCTGTGGGACGGCGAACATCCCAGAACGCAACAACGCTGTGACGGGCAGTGCCTGCTCCAACAACACTTGAAGAACCGCCTCCGCATGACACGGAATAGATAGGCTCATCAGACCAGGGATCACGGAACGTGAGCATGGGACGCAAGGGGGCAGGGGTGCCCGTGACCCCTGAACCACGCCAACCTGAGCGTAAATCATGCACTTGAACAGCGCCATCGTACCATCCGGATATGATGACCTGTTTTGATGAACCCCATGGTGCAGACGGTGGTGCGTCCGTTATATCGTACACTGCAGTGGAGCGTTCACGCGTGGAATGCAGGATGGCAAATGGTGCAGGAGACAATGAGGAAGGGGTTACGGCATGAACGACGAGAGGATTTGGGGATGTTGTGCCAAATGCCGTAAACGGCGTAGAAGACTTCATGCAGATAAAACTGGACCAAGATCTGCAGTCCAGGTTTATGGCGCTGACAAGGGGCGAATCTGAAGATAAGTTGCAGAGGCCTGCAGTTCCGAAAGATGATAGAGACAATAGCATGTCATCTGAGCACGTCAGGCTCTCTATTATATCGACGATGCGCAATGCGAGAGGGGGATCGCGTTCGATGTTCAATGCCAACGGCTTATTGTTGGATTGCTCCTGTTGGAAATGAGGAAGGAATACGCGATGTATACGTCCATCTTCGAAACCAACAGCTACTGTCCTTTCCGAATGACGATCGGGAATGAAGGTGATGCTTGTGATTGCCGGCCGGTCTGTGAACGAATATGAGCCCTCGTATGAGACTCCAGGAGCACCGTCGTCAAGCGAGGAAGAGTGGGTTATATGATATGCATAAATAGTGTAATTGGCAGCAACAAGCAACACAGAAGCAGACAGGGCAATTTTAGGCTGGTATTTATTGCGCCAGGGGTGTGATAATGGTCGCGCGTTAAACTTTGCCTGAGCCCAACAGCGGTCAGACGCAACATCGTATCGAACTTGATCAAACGAAGACCAGCTTCTACGTGCCAGCTGCAACGTGAATGACGGACGAATGTTGTATTTGAGGTAGAGCGACCATCCAAACTCGTGAACCTTTGGTAATGGGCGGTAGTCAGAGATCCGAAATTATGGTGAACTTAATTCAAATGTACCAAGAGGTTCACGAATTTGCACGTGTAGGATAGATTGATGAGGTCTTCCATATCAAGGTTTGCCATTATAATGATTAAGACATCACTGGGAAGGATAAGACCAGCGGCCTCGACTGTCATAGTAGTAGCGAGTAAGAGGTAGTGGCAGTGCTAAGCTGCTGCTGCTGGACTTCCATAAAAGTCAATAGACTCTTGTGCTTATATAAGACAATCCGTGCCGAGACAGCCAGGACTGCCAAACAGGGAGGGATTAAGTTAGACACTGTTTCAAAGTTCACGTCCATCGCCATCGTCTAGCTAAGGCTTCTCACAAAAGCCGAGTCAGGTTTTTCACGTCTTCTTTTTAGAGGGTCATGAGGAGGGATGTTCGCATTTTGCTTGTAGGGGATGGTACGTCGTTATTCCTGCTGTTGACCGCGTGTACTGATACAGGGCTTCGCAGAGGGTGTTGGTAAAAGTACCATTGTCACCTCTCTCATTAAGGAAGCTTTCGTCGCACATGTATGCTCTACTCTTCTATACGTAATTGCGGCACTGATGGCTCCAATGCCAGGTTCAACATGTCGTTCCGGAGGTCACCATTCCACCGGAGGTGAACCCAGAGAACGTGACCACTTACATTGTCGATTCAGGAGGTATTGTACCACAAACTTATGAATAAAGACGCGCCATTCTCAACTTACAATACAAGCTGGCCCACAGGACCGACAGCATCTCGAATCGGAAGTACGCAAAGCGCATGTTATTTGCGTGGTATACTCAATCGACAATCCTCACTCATTTGATCGAATACCTGCATATTGGCTTCCCTTGTTTCGTCAATTAGGCGTCAACGTTTGTTTTATCTTAGCTTTCTCGCATCAACCTAACGATATATCCAGGTTCCTGTAATCCTCGTCGGAAACAAGATTGACCTAAGAGGTGGTGAGGTTACTAACGAAGCCCTGGAGGAAGAGATCATACCTATCATGAATGAGTTCAAGGCATGTCAAACTTTCTGCGATATTCTTAAATTCAATAATATCACCCAGGAAGTCGAGACATGCGTTGAATGCTCCGCTCAACTGCCGCTAAACGTGTCGGAGGTCTTCTACTTTGCCCAGAAAGCGGTCCTACATCCAACTGCTCCTCTTTATGACTCCAGGGAACATGTGCGTACTGGCAGTTCGTGATAGGTTCTCAACTGAAGCCCCCCAGGTCCTGAAACCCGCTTGTGTTAGCGCCCTGAAACGAATATTCAAGCTCTGCGATGCGAACAAGGATGGTGTTTTGGATGCTGCAGAGCTGAATGAATTCCAAGTATATATTTTCACTTCTCTAGCATTTGGAAATGCTAAGCACGAAAGCGTGTAGCGAAAATGTTTTGATGCGCCATTACAGCTCCAGGAACTTGAAGGCATCAAGGATATGGTTCGTGAGCATGCGGAGGGAGGCGTGCGAGACGACGGTTTGACAGAGGGTGGATTTCTATACCTGCATACGATATTTATTCAACGCGGAAGGCTGGAGACAACATGGGCTGTTCTCCGCAAATTTGGTTATGCAGAAGACCTGCGACTTACTGAGTCATTCCTACTCCCAAAGCACGCGATTTATCTTTTTATGAGCTTTAAAATTTGACCGATCTTTCAGATTCGACGTGCCCCATGACTGTTCTGTTGAACTGAGTCCTCAAGGATATCAATTCTTCACTGATATCTTTGAAACTTTCGACAAGGTTTGGACACCAAAACGTGCCTTTATGTCGCGCTCACATACATCTCTAGGATCAAGATGGTGCTCTGAACAGCGCAGAACTGGAAGAACTGTTCAGTACTTCCCCAGGGAATCCATGGGAAACTCAGAAATTCCCGGATACGACCCTGGTGGATGATAAAGGTGCGGTCACTCTGCAAGGCTGGCTCGCTCAATGGAGGTCTGTGTTTGGGATCACCTCCAGTTGAATGCCCTGCTCATCCACCTGCCCTGCATGCCAGTATGACTACTCTCTTAGATCATAAAACCACTCTCGCATACCTTGCATATCTTGGATACCCCGATGAACAACGCACATCTGCATTACTGACAACACGTCCCCGCAAACTTGACCGGCGGAAAGGCAAAGTCTCCCGCAATGTTTTCCTATGTTATGTTTGTGGTGCGGCTGGTTCAGGCAAGACGTCTTTACTGCGGTCATTTGCTGGGAAGCCATTTCGCGAGGCCTACGAGCCAACTAGTAAGATGGTGAGCGTAGTTAATGCAGTGGATATTGATGGTTCAGAAAAGTACCTCGTGGTAAGGTCTCCACAACACTTGGCACGTGGGTAATTGACAGCGATTGTTTTAGCTCCAGGAATTTGGGTCTAAATACGAGGCAGAGACGCTTCGCGCGTCGAAGAAGACGGATCTTGCTGACGTCATTGTCTACGTACATGATTCCAGTGATACTAACTCGTTCTCTTACATCAGTAATCTACGAGTAGGTCATTTTGACCCTCGAAGGTGGATGCTGACCTAAATTCGACTATAGCAACAATACACTCTCGATCATACACCGACCCTATTCGTTGCGACAAAGTCGGACTTGGATCTTGCACAACAAGTTTGGATATTTCTTGCCAAAGCCAGTTCCTTCCTGATGTCATTTTAGAGACACGAAGTTCAGCCCGACGTATACTGCAGACGGCTTGGCCTCCAGGTGCCTGTCGCTGTCAGCGTCAAAACGGGACAGACCGCAGACGTCTTCCATGCAATATGCAGCATTGCCATGAATCCGTAAGTCGTTCCTGCTCTTTTGTTTCTTGAAGGTCTGCTGACCACCCTATTTTAGTCACGCGGCAATACCCGGAGGGGCAGATCGTGCGATGACAGCCTCGGAGCGGGTGCGTGTTTACGTGGCATTTACTGCACTACTGGGGGGCGTCAGTGCGGGTCTCGTAATGCTCTACAGGAGTCTCTTACGACAAGAGATTCTTCCTAGTTGGACAACACCTTGGGCTACATGGTTATTGGGCAGGCGGGATCCTTGATTATTTTCGCATATTGCATATATCTACTTTATAGAGTTATACACAGTCGAACTCGTGCGGGAAATCCTAGATTAGTGTCCTGGGCGCTGGGTTTAGTTATACAGCAGACGAGATCCGATATCCGATTGCTGAGATCCGAGATGCCTGCAGGATGTCGCCTGGGTCCTGGGACTGCACACAAGAAGCCCTCACTCCAGAAGGTGTAAACTTTGACTATATTTACCAGGTTGGATCGTCAACAGCTCTTTCAACCGCCTCTCAGGTAACAAGGAATACGAAGGCAGACCAAGTATTCGTCGATAAATATTCCCAGGAGCCTGCATCTGAACCAACTACAATAACACTGTGACTCGCCATGGATGAAGATATGGAATTCGACGCCAACACGGCACAGCCGACTCCCCAGTTTCGTCGTCAAAACTACTATGACGGAAGAAAGATGCTGTACGTGCCTGCAAGACTCTATACCAGCCGTCATATTCACCCGTGCACAGCGACTTGGTGTTTGTGCAAGACTGTACGGGCAGTCAAGGAAGCTACATCTCCTCTGCAACGAAGAACATCGAGGAGATTTGCGCACATATTTTTGAGTCGGGAAAGCTACAATCGCAAGAGGATTTGCGCGTCGGCCTTGTTGCGTTCCGCGACCATCCGCCACAGGATCACACATATGTGGTGAAGAACTTCGGATTTTCATCTGACATCAGCAAGGTACATCGGGACCTTGCAGGGCTTTATGCTTCTGGGGGTGGTGATGGACCGGAGGCCGTGACAGCTGCACTCGCAGAAGCACTCCATATGGACTGGAGGGAGCATGCGAGCAAGATGGTCGTGCTGATTGCTGATGCGCCACCGCACGGAATAGGAGAGTATGGGGATGGTGAGTATAGTGATCTGGCTATTTGAGCGATGTATTCAACCTTTGGTAGGATTCGATGAAGGCTCTCCAGATGGACACGATCCGTTGCAGCTAGTTCGCGAGATGGCCAGTCGAGGCATCACGCTGGTACGTTTTATCACGGTCTAGCGATCAATGAGTTAGATAACCGGTTTTATAGTTCTTCGTTGCATGCGAACCGGCCCTCAGTGGTTACTCGGTATGGTTGTCGTTACTCTTTTGTCACAGTACTTAGATGTGTTTCAGTATGCAACAGATTTCTACCAAGCAATTACAACCATCACGTCCGGGCTCATGCTCCCACTTACAACAGCTGATCTCCTCTCGCACGCGATCGTAGGCAGTGTGTTGGAAAACCTCGATATGGAGCGCCTTGTTCGAGAGGTGGGGCATGCTGTGGCGCAGCGAATTCTCGGGAACAATGAAAGCGTCGATGATGTCGCCCGTGAATTGCACGAGAAGTTGCTCCTCCGGAATGAAAGCACCAAGAAAGTGGTGATCGAAAGCATCTACAAGGAGTCTCCCGAAGCTATGCATAACGTCGCGGTCTTCACCCACGCTACATCGCTACATGAGGCGAAACCACAGTTGAAGAGGGTGCGTTGGTTTTCTACGGTTCTTTCGCGAGCTAACGACTTTCATCGTCAAAGGTGCAAGGCACGCGTTTCACGGAGAAGTATCTTATCGCACGACAGACGGCGAACCGGAGTTTGTACTCATATCCATATTCACCTCATACGCCTTCGCGATCAGAGAAGACTTATACTTCTATGACGCCGAGTACTAGCCCCTCAGCGTCGTCGTCCCCTCCTCGTAAAGTCGTGACTGACTTTGCTGCCTTCGGCGCGCCGAAGAATACCAGCGTGTTCGGCACTGCTGTCGCCTCGACGCCTTTTTCGTTGGCTGGTGGTAAGGCCGCTTTTGGCGGAGTGAGGGGTACTCGAAGCTCGTATGCTGATGATGACGACGATGACGATGACGATGGTAGGCAGCGGGTGGAACTTAGGGAAGATTCCATCTCGCTTGATCAGGTAGGTCCATCTTGTTGCTTTGCTATCTCGTACTGATTGCCGTGCAATACAGGCCCGGCGTATCGCCATGCAAAGCGCATGGCGGAGCGTGCGAGGTTGATGACATACATCGGAGATGTTCATCCCGATTTTTCGTTCCTCTGCATCACGTTTGTGATTAGTTTCCTTTTGTCAGTATATCACGATGATGGATCATGTAGAATAGTTGCACATCAATCGCAATCATTAACGGCTTGGTTTGTATCATTGGAACCGTGTGGTAGTGTTTCATATGTTTACGAGAAATACCCGAATATCAAAATTTGCAATGGCATAAACCTACAGCTGCAGTGGTGGACGAAATGCTAAATTAAGGATCTTTCTTTTCTCTCTTCTTCTTCTTCCTCTTCTTTGTATCTATGTTGTCCTCGGCTGCAGGGTCGTCAACCTGAGGAGAAGCATCTATAGATATCTCACGTTGCCCCTGTGATGGAGGCTGATCGAGGCTCGTAAAGATCACATCCCCAGTTGCAGGGGGCTTTCCACATTCTGCAATATCAAGAGAATTTGCCTCCAATACTTTCATAGCCCTCTTGGCTTCCTTCCGCGCCCTGCGCTCGTCCTTCGTCTGTAGTACGAACTCTTCTTTCCTAGTTTCTGCTGCTCTCTTCTCTTTTTTCTCCCTTTTCAGTCTTTTTCTTTCTTTCCGTTGCTCTCGAGTCTCGAGCAGCTCTGACGATTTTCGCTTTGTACTTTGCTTCCTGCTTGGGACGTCAGTCTGAGGAGCAATATCTCTTTCGGGAGTTGAATCGGCAGAATGCAGGGGGGACGGAGCAGGGGATGATGACAAATTGCTGGGATCATCAGGGGCCAATGTTGGCCCACGGAAAAATCGAGAGTATAAGCCTCTTCTTGCAGCCTCGCGCTTCGCAATGGTCATCACGGAGATGCGTGGGTAGATGTCTGAGTCTGGGGTAGTTATTCCGGATGCAGGGGTACCCGACAACGGTCTTCTATTCGAGATGATGCCTGTCGTGGTTCGTTTTAGTTGAAGGGTCGTGGACCTTAATGAATCCTAATCGTACAGCGAGTGAGTGATGGCGCAGTATGAAATGCTAATGCAGACCTCGTTTTGATCGTCGTCGTCGTCGTCATCGTCATCATCATCATCTGCTATCTTGATGGTGATAGCTTTTGTGGCAGCTGAATATAGGCTTCGAATAGATGAGATATTGGACAATTTGAACGGAACAGAACGCACTGGTCCCAGAAGGGGAATGCCTCATCACGGTCCTTGCCTACGCCAGCGAGGTTTCGTTTTTTGGGGATAGCAAGGGGCCTGTCGATGGCGCCCGTGCGAAGGCCCGCACCTTTGCCTGACCATCCGTACGATGTCAGGTAGCTGTGTCCGTCGAGAGGCATGAAGCAAGAACGTTGAAATATCTTCTATACTAAAGTAGCTAGGTCACATGATCTATTGTAATTGGTGTAAGGTGTGAAAAAAAGTTGCTGAGCAGGTTTAGAACCTGCGATCGAGGGGTTGCTCATGCTTACTGCTTGGCTAAACTCGTTGAGATTCACCCGTCATATTCACACTGAAACAGTGTCCCTGCCATCACAGTCATTTACGCAAAACGAAATAAAAAGACTAGTCTTACAATTTTCGTTCAACCCGACGGACACAGGACGTGCCAGGAATAAGTAAGTCGGGGACTGGCTCCCGCGCCGTTATGATGGTGTATTGTGGATTTGAGCTCTAAGAAAAGAGTGTGGCCCAGGGTCCGTGCGTTGTGTGTCGGCTCACGTCAGCAAAACACCCGAAAGTTGTGGGTTTTGGTCCCCTTGCACCTACATTCCCATCAATTACGCTTGAACCTTTTCTCAAACTTGCAGTGTCTTCTTGCTGCAATCAGCAAACAGGAAATCGCTGGTCTTTTAGCTTCTTTCGCAGGTCCAAGTCGCACTATTATGGATATCGACAATCCACCACCGCAGGATCTTGACTCAGTTGATCCCGCCCAGTCATTGCGCGCAGCCGCTTTGCTTTCAAGAAAGCGCCGCAAAGTTACTGTCGAGCAACCGCCAGTAATCCCTCAACGCCCTCTGGTCGAGCAGACTCTGCACTTAGATTACGGTCAAGAAGATACTGCTACATCCTCAACGCCTTCTGCAAATTTTCCCGCGACAGAAACAAGGGCTCCATCGACATCAGAGGAGATTCATAATCCGATATCAGAAATTGAAGATGGTCAGATCCGAGAGGAAGGTGAAATCAGCGATACGGAAGAAGCCGCCCCACCGCCAAGGCCTACCTCTCCGCCTCCAAAATTTCGGAGACTCGAAACTTCCTCGAAGGACACCGTCGCTTACAAACGTGTCTCTACCTCTCCAGTCGAGTCAAATAATAGGCATAGGCCTTCACCCCGCCTCGAATCACCCTTCACCTCAAATCCTGCCTTCGGATCAGAAATCTACCAGTCACCGCCACCAACTTTCCTGCAACCATTTGTTCTTGAGACACCTACATATAGACTTGACCCAGATCATGTCAGGCCAGGGCTGGCCAGTTCGTATTAGCTTTTTATTGAAGACGTTAACTAATCATTTTTACTCTTATAATACAGTGACCGAAGATCAGTATAATACCGCAAAAGACATCGTCCTGGATCTACTTGGATGGGGTGTTCCCCCTGAGTACCTCGTCGATTGTGGCCTTAGCCGTCACGTCGTATTCTATGTTTTCACCGAACTTAACTTGCGGATGCCTACAAATTTGGATACCAGTGGTCTCATCCCATACCCTACCCCTGAAATGATGTACTCCATTCCTGCTTCACCTTCCCAATCAATTCGCTCCTCCTCATCAGTGATGCCCCCGCCGCCAACAATCCCTTCTCACAAAGAATTGACTAGCCCAGTTTCGGGTGCTTCTGATCACTCACGTGGCAGACTCGCTACTCGTCTTGGCCTCCGTATATCGTCAGGTGGTGAGCCCACCGACGTGAAGCTGGAACCCACATCCCCATCAGCAGTCGACTCGTCATCTTCTCATTCTCTTCACATGATCGAACAACAACGACGACAAGAGCTACTTGCTCGAAAAGCTGTTTTCGCTTCTCGCAAGGCCAAGCAGTCTAATTCCCCTGGCGGTTCATCTTCGAGAGACAGGGACGTTGAAATGTCCTATGTTGCTCCAACTGAGACTGTCGAAGATTTTTTAAAGAGCATTCCTGCTGTGGACAGTGAAATCGCAGAAAACGGTAGTAAATCTCCATCCTTGCGCCCGGCACGGTACTCCAGCCCTGGAAACATGGAAGTTGATAAGGCGTTCCTTGGTCTTGTCACACCGCAATCGACCTCTTCTATGGCGCCATCTGGTTTGTATCCAGCTGACTCAGAATCATCTGGAGTAGGCGGTACTATTTCGCCGGTGACTGATACTCCACCTTTGTCCGGCAATTCCACTGCACCATCCTCGGATACGTATTCTGGCGCATCTTCATGCACCGCGCCGGCTGATTACTCTAATTCCACTCCAGTACCCGCATCCGCTACTTCAGGTTATGACACCGATGGCGTACAACGAAGGGGCACCAAGCGACCAGTCGCTGCAGACTTCGTTGATTTTGACCATGGTCCTGGTACTTCCAGAGCTTCTTCTGGCAACGGTTATTCGAATAATGGCTATACGCATCCTAATCTACTTCGACGGAACACAGGGAGTTTTGCGGGAGTGAGTGGCATGCGACGATGTGTCATCGAACTGAGCGATAGCGAGGATGATGGAGATGGCGAAGGGACTGGTGATACCGGTCCATATGACGGTCCATCATCATACTCACCAATGGTCTTCGCGCGTCCCCCACGGTTCAGTGGACATGGGACGCCAATTTCGTCCAATAGTTTCGCTAATGGCGAGGGGCGTTCGACTCCCTTGAATTTGCATCAAATCAACTCTAATGCCCCGGGTATGTCGCCTGCTGCTCTCGTAGAGAAAGAGGAGGAGATCAAAAGGATGCGCCAAATGATTGCCCAGCGAGAAGAGCTTCGGCAGAAAAAACTTGCCGCTGTGTGTTCCCTGTGTGCTGCCTTGACTTCGTAAGATGATTTACCAAAGTTTCAGATGTCGGGGAAAACGACGCCGGTAATCCAATCTGCAGCCGCAGGGCCTCTCACAGCTGATCCTGCTGTACCTCCTTCGATTGCCGTGGTTAAATCGGCAGGTGGCTCTGGAGCGCCCATCAACCAGGAGGACGCCGCCACGCCCCTTCATAATGGCGATGTTGGGGCTACACAGTTGTCTGAAGACGCTGTAGATGCCGTTATGGCAGATACGCAAGGTTCGCTTTAGTTTTCATTGCCCTGTGCCTGTGTTGTCTTCGTATAGCGTTGTCATGTCGTGGCATTGATTTCATTGCATTGCATTTCAACTGCGATCTATTTTTGAGTATAGACTGTGTTTACCCTTGATCTCTACTCCCTTTCCTTTTCTCACAATGCGATACATGGTGCTCATGTGGGCCTGCAGATCATAGTGAACCGACGGCAGTCCAAGAAAGCGCCGATATTCGTGTGGTTATTTCCGCTAAGGAAGCTGCTGTTAACACCAGCAGCGAAATAACCTCAGCCAAGCACACCATGGGTTCTTCCTGGTTCTTCACCAGTCCGACAGCCGGCTGATATATCTCTTTGTTTGTCCCCCCCTCTGGGTTTTGACTGTTATATTTTTTTTATACTTCATTTTGTCGTGCCTTTGCTGTTCATTCCTTTCCCTTTTCTGGTCACTCTTTTCATTTTTGATCCTCGCCATTACTACTTGGGTCTACTCAGGGGGTGTAGGATTCGAGCCAATCACTAATGATAGCACCGTCGACGAAGACCAAGGTTCGTAACTCATTGCCTTGGTTCAGCATGTCCTCACTTCTCCGCGGTCGCGCTGACCTCATCGTTCCCATCCGTTCATTACATTAATACCTTGTTTGCTTTTTGCAGCGCTGACAGAGGAAGCACATTCCGAAAAATGGGCAAGAACCTTTCTCTCTTTTCATTCGAGTGCGTTTTATGTACTGACTCTAATTTTCTGTTTCCTTTCTCCATTTGTGATTCCGGAATCGGATATAGGAATCTTTAAGCGCAACGTTTCATCAAACTGCTGGCGTGTTTGATGGCCTATCGTCGTCAGAGGTGCGTTTCGATCTGTTCGATAATCGAGGCTGCGAGGCCTATTTAGGCCTATCTATGCTGACGTCGGGGGTGGCGTGGCATGCCAGGTCCTGAAGAAGGAATCGCAAGGTTCTCAAACGAGCTTTCCGTATTATGATTCGCCATTCTCGACCTACCCTCTACTTCTATCCCAATTACGTACAACGCCTCTTGATGCCGATTCTTGTCAAGATCCTCGGCGAACTGCCACTCATTCATCCAGATCGTCATCGCAAGCCAGTGCGAGCCATGCACCTAATTTATCATCACCCTCATCACGCACTTCGCTTATCTACTGTGCACCATCATTATCTCATTCATGTTCGACTGTTTTTGTTCCAGATCTCAAGCCATTGAAGCTTGCAAGCTTGCAGCGCGCCCTTGGACAATTCAGTGCTAGCGACTCGGGTGTTCGGGTATGTCAGTACGAAGTTCCTGGTGGGGGTGTTTGTCGTGACAAAGACTGTAACGATTTGCACCTGAGCCGACTGGTGAGCGAGCCGAGTGGTACGTATGCTTTATGTATTTAGTTTTGGACTGACTGATGGATTGTTCGTTGTGGATACGTCTTGTATTTACTCATTACACTAGATGCAGACGTAGCGGCGTACGTGCACGGGATATTGCCGCAACCTTGGCGTAGTCGGTGCGACGTACGAGCTATCGAAATTGCCCTTGAACGGGTCCGGCTCGGTAGCAAGGCCAGAAATATTGACGAGTGCGTCAGAAGCGCACTATCAGGACTTGGCATCCCGGTCGTTCCATCAACAATGTCTTGACACGTTCCAACCATCAGTATGTGACCGACAATACGGCCCGACCCTTGGATGATGATGATGAAGACCGGGCAACGTAAAGAGACCAATGTCCAGAACTTTCGAATGTCAAAATTGTACAGGGGAAAGGACAAGAGCGCGCTAAGCGCCACAGGAGCATGAGCTCGTGATTGATGGTACTTGCGTTGGTTGGATCGTTGTATATTTTTATTATAATCAAAAGTTGTTTTTGGTTGTCACGTCAGAATTGTTATGATTGGATGATGCGGAGACTGAATTTTGTGACACGAGGTTTGTCATGTTTTACTAAAATGGATAAGTTTGAGATTGCCACGAGGTAATCATTTCTATAAAAGGGATAGTAATTCCAAATGGAAAGTGAAATAATTACGGAAGCGGGTATCGTGGGAGCGATAGCTGCGGAAGTATTGCTGTAAGTAGTCGGCGGGGATTACCGCGGTGTGCCTGGCGGGCATCTGATACTCCGATTATGACCAAATAAATGACCACAAGGACAGTCTTTTTTTGATCGTCCAGACTGAGACAACACACGCCCCGTTGACAACTCCCTCCCTTTTCCACCTCCTTCCAACTTCAGCGATTCCTTTTAAGGACGCCGTCCGCACTGACACTAACATCCTCCAAGTCGCGTTCAACGTTCAAATTATCTTTTATTTCAACGCGTCCTCTTCATCGTCGTCGTAGGGTGAACAACCCATATGGCCTATCGCCGTCAACCTACTTCCACTACCACTAACTCGCCATCTTATCCGTATTCCAACGCCGCGGCTCATCACAGCCAACAACCTTCCCTTTCCGGTCAGAGCATTCAAGACGACCCCGCCGCCTCCTCGCCAACAATGCGTAAGCGCCAACGCACGGACCTCAATCTCGCAAATCCCGTCATTGCGGATCCTCAACAGCAACCACCGCCACCTGCTAATCAACAACCTCACCAACATCTTCCACAACCAGTACAACAACCAGGCGTACCAGAAGACGGTTTCATTCATGATCAAGACGCTGCTGAGAGTGGTGGAGACGACGATGATGAGGAGGAGAAACCCAAGTCGGACAAGAAGGCAGGAAGGCGAAAGATTAAGATCGAATTTATTCAAGATAAATCGAGACGTCACATAACATTCTCCAAAAGGAAAGCTGGTACGCGATCGACTTCCTTTGCCCTCTCTGTACTTTTCCTCAATATGTTCTTACACTTTCGCAGGCATCATGAAAAAGGTTTATTTCATCAACATACTCTTTCGCTTATCTAACCGAATCATTAGGCATACGAGCTCTCTACACTCACAGGCACTCAAGTCCTTTTACTCGTTGTATCAGAAACAGGTCTCGTTTACACCTTTACAACCTCAAAGCTTCAACCTCTCGTCACTCAACCAGAGGGCAAGAATCTCATTCAAGCATGTCTCAATGCCCCACATGGTTCGCTGCCTTCTTCAATGCCAGTCGGTACGCCTATAGGTCGTGCGTCTGGCCCAATGTCTTTGCCCGGCCCTGGAAGCACTAACCTTCCTGGAGGCCTTGCAATTCCAGGTGGTCCTGTTGGTGGCCCTCAAAGCGCCACGAAGGAGGACGGTGACGATGAAGCTGACGAAGAGGCTGCTCGCGGTAATCGCGCAGCCGCAGCAGGAGACAAACGTCGTCGGCGTCCGTCTACAACTGGCACTGGGCCTGGTCGTGCCGGTCCTGGATCGCCGCAAACTCCAAATAGCACTATCCCTCCGCCCCTTTCTATCCCAGCTGCCTCTCAACATCAACAACCGCAGGCACCGCCACCGCCACAAATATCACTTGGCTCTCCGACGAGTCCACAACAACAACATTCTCAAGTGCCTCAATCTCCTCAGTACGGAACATCCCCGACTGGAGGATACGGTACTCATGCCCAACATCATGGACATCATGCACCTGGTGGTGGACATGGTGGAAGCCCAACAGACCCTGGAATGTACGGGGGCCACATGGGCTTGCCACCTCCAGGTACTTATTCATACCCTGGACCTGGTGGCCCTGGTGGCCAGGGCGGTCAACCTTTAGGTGGATTGGCCGCTGCTGCCGCGCAGCACTCGCATTGGGCCCCGCCCCCGCCAGTTAGTCAGGGTGGTCATTATGGCCGAAGATGATGATACGAATAATGACGTGTGCTTACTTTCATGCATGATAAGCTTTCTTGTCCGTCCAAACTGGGTTGTTTTATGCTTTACTCACTTCTCTGCATGCTTCTACTTCTTCGTCTTCAGCTTCTTCGCTGTTAGTTACTCACAGCTATTTTGGCTGAATTTGTACAAATAATTGATGAATCCGCCTTGTCATTTCCCATTGTTTCCCCTGACTTGGTCTTATCCATATTTCTTTCCCCAAACCTCATTCAGTATTTTGGATGTTATCATGTGGTTGGCGTCAAAAGTGCTCGTACTCGTTTCTGTCCGTCCATACACGACTCGCATCTGTGCTATTAGCAGTTCAACAAAGGCAGTGATTGACCCAAAAAAACCCGCGGCTTTGAGACCAAACGTGAACTGTTCAACGAAACGGGAGCGGCATGTACATTTCTGTCGATGGGCTCATTGTCGCACGCGATCGTTTCCTTTCTCGTTCTGATCGACCCTCTGGACGAGTCGTCGTCGTCGCGGAGTCTATTTCTTTCTCAGAAATGGAAGTTTGTGATTGCTCGAGCTCCATGGAGGGACTCGAACGTTCCGACAGCGTGATGATCGACGTACGTGGACGTTACTCCACCCCTTCACGATACGTCAACGTTTCAACGGGGGCTCGTACTACTCGGATCTCGTCGCTCCATAATCGATCGCTCCCATCATTCCACGCAGGACTCGATTGTCACACCAGGACAGACTGACAGACAGCGTTCATCCCAAACTTAAGCTTAAGAAATCTCTTTCAATGAAAACGTGCCTTGTGGTGCCGTCACGACCGTGCGAGTCGCCCGGTTATCAAGACCTGCTAGTTAATCACATGCGTTCTATGGAAAGACCCTTATCATGTACGTAGAACCAACATTCCCGGTTACGTAGTTCAGCCAATGAAAATCGTTGATTCCTTGCCCGTTTCCATGCTGGATGGTACCTGAGTCAATCCGAAAAGCCGAAAGGACAGCCCGTCCGTCAGATAACAGCTAACCAATCTCATCTCATGACAACTACGCTAGCCATGACAGCCACGTAAATAAAAAGCATACATACAACAAGCCCTATGCATGGAATAAATAGCTTTAATAAAATTATGCAACGTGTGTCACCTGCAGCGGTGCCGAGATGGCTAGTTGGAGCACCTAGAAATGGTATACAGGACATGCGTCCAGAAACATGCACGATTAATGATACAACTTCGGAGGTAGAGGGGAAGTGCGGGGATGATGAGAGCGGAAATGACTAGTCGGCGACATATCTGAGACCCAAGAATATGAATCACGATATGCGGAATGACTCAGGCTGGCGAACAAGGTTGTTCCCCTTCCCCTTGCACAAGCCGAGGACAACGAGAACGCCACCAGGAAATTACGATACCTTCATCCCCAAAAAAAGAAAATCCTTATCCCCCCCTCTGCTCCCTATCCCAATACAGCAATGAATGGAAGCCCAAGTTGCAAGGAATCATTCCAGAGGGTATAATCCAAAAAAAAAGACAAGGAAGGGCCTAACGGCACGGAACCTTGAACAAGCCCATATTAAGAAAACTCTGAAACGAGGCGCTTCGCCACACGCCTCGTGGTCACATGCAACTTGCGTAAGATCCGGCTGCAAGAAGCGCTGATCATGATCATCATGCTGTAGGCTTCCATGCAACGAAGACTCGTAATGAGCGGCTCAGACGCGTAGCGGGGTGTGGAGCGGCGACACCGACGGCGCAAGGGGTTCGATCACCACTCCCACCACCAAGCCTCCGATACGCCTCCCATTTCTCGCACGCAGTGTCAAACGAGCGCTTCTCCTGCGGTGTCGGACCCGATATCATACTCCAATTGAACCGGTCCTCGAGCACAGATCCGAGACCCATGTGCTCCCTCATATCCCTGTAACAACAAAAGTCGATTAGATCATGTTATCGCGAAGACAAATCAGAAACCATTGGTTCAGCTAATCAGAAGAAGAAGTAAGCAATTGAAACACTATCCCCCTAGACTTGGCCCCGTTTGGAAACAATGCCCCTATTGGGAGCACGTAGACTGAATGTTCTAAACGCGTATCATCCAGCTGCTGTGCCCCCGCGAAGCTAGTAAAAAAAGGCGATTCCACGCCACCTCCAAGGTCTCACCATCAGGATTCCGAGAAGTGATCAACGGCATTGGTACCGAACAACAAACTCAAATCCACACATCCACACAGAAAGCAAAAGAAAGAAAGAAAGAGTACTCACAGCTCAAACCTCAACAATAGCTCATCGAACTGCGACCTCGTCAACCCAATGATCTTGCCATACACCCCATCCGTTCTCCCCATGTCTCTCTGAAACTCGCTTACCCACTCCCACATCGCTTCTGCGCATGCTACGATCTCTTTCACGCGCAGAGCCAGATGGAGATTCAAAAACTTTAGGTCGACATCTAATGCGGGGTTCGGCAGAGCCCGCATTTGCGTCTGTCGTTGGATAGAGATTGCGCAATCGAGGGAGGCGTAGGGCGATGCGCCGTTGCTCAGACCATCCAGCGAGATGATCGTGGTCTTCGAGTAGGTATTTCTGTCGGTACCAACACCAGACCCACCCACACTTGATACCGATAGCGTATTTGAGCCCTCAGGTTCCCTCGGCGGTGGGAAACGCAACAGGATCGGCGGGTGCGTCCGAACGTCTACACGCATCCAAGTCAGCTCTAACTCTGACATCGCTTGCAGAGAAGTAGAAGATATGTTTTAAGCGGGGTGAATATTTTGGATATATAGGCACCACCCGAGTTGGAGTGGAACACCCTTCATGATTCCACCGCCCATCATCTGCCACGCCCAAAAATGATGAAATGAGCACTCACCTTTGAACCACAGCCCCACCGTATTAGCCAACAAACTCAACGGAGAAAGGTTAATGAATCGCTCCGCGTGCATCTCATTGTAGATCGTCTCGAGGACCGTATGGTCTCGCGGATCCAGCGGGATGACGTCCAGCAGTCCGACACTTCGCGAATCCAGTGGTAGTGGCGGTGTCAGTGGTACAACGCTCCCCAGCTCAAGCGCCGCACCCCGCAAATCCGGCGGCGTACTAACAGGAAACTGTACATCCAAATGACCTGTTCCCTCACCCGACTCTTCCTCCAACACCCTCGAACTTGCACTCGGACTTACAACGGTTGCACTAGGACTCGTCCTGACACCGAATAGCCCCAAGCCGGTCACTCGACTCCCAAAGGAGCCTCTGCTCCGTCCCTTGCCGCTCTCCTTCCCGGATTGACTCGAACTAGAACTAGAACTAGAGCTCTCCCCCATCAACGAAACCCGGCTCTTATTCTGCGGCAAAAAAAAGGCAGCATTAGGTTCCATCAGCACTGCCTGCGCTGCTTTATTCTTTTTTTGTGTTGGGGGTGAACCTGAGCTTGATGTACTAGTTCCGGCAATGCTGGGGGTAAAGAGAGACGCAGAGCCAGAGCCGGAACCAGTGACGGAACCATTGATGGAAGCCGAACCAGACCCAGACCCAGACCCAGTTTTAGAACCCACACTGACGAAAAACGGAGTGAAAGCAGGTTCCATCAACACGGCCTGCGCAGCCTTGTTAGATTTCTGGGATGGTGGGGGTTGGGGGGTCAGCGAAAGCGTTGAGATTTTGTTCATGGTGCTTGGCGTTGGTGTGCTGTTGTCTGAGGAAAAAGAAAGGAACGTGCTCTGCGAAGAGGACTTCGAAAGGATTTGCTGTGAGGGGTTCGGGGGGAACGATTGCGAGGAGGAGATCGGTTGCGAGAAGTGACTCGAAGGTGTAGTAGCCGTCCTCGGCCTCCTCAGCTCGTGCGACCTATCGACAGAGGGAGGCTGGCGAACGGATAGGGAACGATGGATGAACGGGTATGTCGAAGGCACGGAGAGGTTGTTAGGAGGGAGGGAGATGGATATAGTTGGGTATTGTTTGGAAAGGTCGTCGCGATGGGAGTGGGCGTTGACAGTGATGGAGGATATAGAGTCAGGGGTGGTAGCTGAACCGACAGAGCTCGATGGACTGCTCGTGCTCCCGACTGCGCTGCTCCTCCCTGATCCGGTCCCGGGGCTTAGACTGGAGATGGACATAGGAAATGTTACTTCCTTTACTTCTCAGGGTCCCAACTTCGCTGCCTTCCCCATCTGACCCCGGGAAGGTCAGGTCTTCTTCGACGACTTCGAATGCTGCGCCTGGTTTCATCACGCGAGTAATTTCTTCGAAGAGGTCGTCCCACTATTCGGTGTTAGCATAGTACGATGGAGGAAAGGCAGACGGACCTTGTCCTCTGGCACACCTCGAGCGATACGCTTTATGTGTACGAAATCGAAGGATTCGTTTGGGAATGGAAGGCCTTCGAGGCTGTGCGAGTCAAGGATGAGAGCGGGATAAGGACTAGGTGGGTGGACTTACAAATTTGCTTGGACCCAGCTTATTCTGTTGAGGAGATCCTTGTTTCTGGAGAGACGGGCAAGGTCCGGGTGGAGAGGTACGATATCAAGACCTGCAAGTAGTCAGCACCCCTCAAAGGAGTAGCTTAGATAGGACTGACCGACGACTTGGCAGCCTTTCCAGTACTTGGCAGCTTCGATTACCCACACGCCATCCCCACAGCCTAGATCCAATATTCTCTTGAGGGGACCCTGTGCGGGTGGTTCGTTCCAGGATTTGGGGAATGCATGCCAAGTCAAGGAACCGCCGCTCATTTGGCGGGTCAGGAGGGTATCGATGGCGTCTCTGGATAGATATGAGTTGAGATCAGGGAAGAAAACAGGGACGTACAGATCTACAGCCTTTCGTTCATAATTCCTGGGATAAGGGACTTGATAACGTCTAAAACGGTGGTGGAGCCTACGCGAGGTGTCGATGCCGCCATGTACATTGAGTGCGAGTGCAGGATCGGAAGATGGTTTGTTGTCATCTAGTGTGGGTGAGTTGGGTATCTGTGATTATGAATAAGGATGAGTGATGGCGTTGTACGCGGCAGACGTACTTTGGATGGAAGTGCGGCTGAAGCTGCACGTGCACCGACGGGGCCGCGTAGTATGAAATCTGATTGAGGTGTAGTTACAGTTGGTATAGATTTTGATGGGTATGATGGTGTACTCCATGGAGAGAGACCACCCGGTGCAGGATACATTATTGGATCCGGTGGTAATGGAGGAAGAGGGGAAGTTGGTGGTGGATAACGAGGTGGAGTTCTTCTATGTATAAACTATACAAAATCAAGCTTTGGTTAGAGTACATTACAATCAGTCAAATTGGATCTCACTGGTACAAAATCCCTTTTCAACCTTTCCGGATTCTTTGGTGGTCTAGGTGGCAGTGGTTCATAAGTTGAAGAAATAGAAAATGGAAAGAGATCAATAATATCGGATAAATTATCACTACTGTCGTTCATCTTCGTCGTTGTCGTTGTCGTCGTCGAGACCGACGTTGAAGCCGCAGTAGATTTGAGGTATACAGGAAATGGAGCCAACATCTTGGATGTTTGAATTAATACTAGACTCGTTCTTACATAGCCGACACAGCAGACCGACGTCATATTTATCGACCAATAGCATCACACCAACACTCAATCCAAAACGTTCCTTGACAGCAACGCACTCCGCCAGGTACGCATTTCATTTTGGCCCATCAGTCTTCGACTAATGAGTCTCAAGGGGTCGCTACTGATCCTCTTCAAGGAACATCGATCATCAGCCTTCCAGTGATGTTGAGCCTACCAGCGACGACTTCACCGGAATTCAGACTATCCTCGACCGTCTGAGACCGTCTTATCTTATTTATGATACCAAGACACGACGACACCTCGGAACGACAGACGTTATGAGACAGAAACGACTCTCCGATATACTCTCCGCTCCTACTCCTCCCTTTGAAGTCACGACAGGTGAGAAGCCCTTGCTCTTCCGACTCTTTCCTCTGTCACACCCAAAAAGACCGAGCTCGTTCCTTGCTTGCACGAGTACAACACGCGCACGGATACTTTCGGTATTCATGAGACTCTCATTTGTAAATCCTTGCAGGGCGCACATACTCGTTGGAATTACATAGGGCGAAAGAACGGTCGTGCATCGGAATTATTATTTTTCAGGACGCCTGCCAGCGCGTGTAAGCGGGAAGATGCACTGGAACATGGGAATAACGTGACAAAGTTCCACCTACCCCGTGCAAGTCAAGGCACACTGATTTCAAGAGTAACGCTGAGGCGTCAAAAAGTTACGGCACATTCTGTTGGCCGGTCTTCCGAGTCCCATCTGATGATCATGTTGTTAGCAAGGCGCGCGATCGCACCCTGCATACAAAGCTGGAGATCTTATTAACCTTGCGACCCTCATCCTTCTATCGTAGTATTTATCCTGTTCATTTCATTGTTTCATGTTATGATTTATTACCCTTGGCCCTGATAGTGCATCTTTCCCTTACCACCAAGTACTTTATAAATACCTGCGGCAAACTTTGCGTGCATCACCTTGCTCAATGCTCACACGACCACCAACACTTTGAGACATGCTAGATCTCGCTCGAAAAGCTATAGAGATGCTGTCGACCCTAATCCGTAAAGGAAGTTGACGTTGGAGGTTCAACGTAAGATTCACTACTCGCGAAAGTATTGCAAATTTGAAAATTGAGTTGAACAATGTGTCGCGAGGAGTGCTGAGGGCGAGCATCCCAACAACGTCCGCCAAAGCTTGATAGCTACTGAGAACGTCTATGAAGAGCTCGTCTGACAGATTTGTCGAGATAATGAAGAAGAGGACTGTGAGAAGCGCGGGTCAACCGTTTTCAAATATAGAATGCACGATGATCGTCCTGCGGAAGTGTGGAGAGGTCAACAGTGGCAGATGCGAGAATGACAGGCTGAGGATGTTGAATGTGTACAGTGGGCCAGTGAACGACGCAAAGCCTTCGCATAGGGAGACAACACATTGCACAACGAGAAGGTAATTGTATGCTTCGGGAATTGGCAGCAAGTTAATTGATCGATGCTGGTCAGGAAAGACGGTTCGGGGTAATCCACGAGATGTAAAATGGGGACTGTACCATTGGAGCTTCAAAGCTTCATGGCCGAGTTCTGCACACTCAGACCAATGCGGCAGAGATCCAGGACTGCGCTTGCCTTTGATATTGAAAGGAGGTGGAAATTCTTCCATACGGTGTCGTTCTTGGAAGTGTCTAAGAGGTCTGGTGCCTGTGTTTACTATTGTCCGTTACGTAATCATGCCATGATGCTCAGTTGCGATATATGGTCGTGGCTTTGAAGTACAAGGAAAGGATCTACTATCAGGGCCAAAGGCAACACTTTATAACATAAAGCAACGAAATCGACAAAATAAATACTAGAAGTACATAAGCTAGTGATGGAGTATAGTAAGAGACTGAGAGTAGTAGTAGTGCCAAGGAGTCAATAGTATGTTAATGTGATCTCCAGCTTTGCATGCAGAGTGCCATCGCAATCCATCATGGTTGTACTAACAACATAATTATCAGAACAACTGTAAAACAAGATAGGGAGGACTTACTCGTTCATCAGCCAGTCCAAAAGCCACCAGAACGTGTGGCGGTCGCGGCGGCTGGAAAGATGAATTGTGAATCAGTATGCTTTGACTTAAAATGAACGTACCGGTCCGCGGGTTTCATGGTAAATTTTTGACAACACGGAATTCGTATATCTTCGAGCGAGGTTTTCTCCCTGGGTGCCTGGATGACGAGCACAATGGAGTCTATACACGCCGGCAAACTATCATCGGAAAGTCTAATATCAATGCGCCACCGCTCATTCGTCAAACGGGATCTTAATAACCATATGTACCCTGCAAAGATTGATATCAGCGCCAGGAATACTGAGGTATTAGCATGGGTCATACATACCCCCTGCAATAAATTCGATGCCAAATCACTGTGTTGGATTTGTGCGCAGGCGTTTCTGGAACATCTTGATGCAAAAGCAAGCAACAAACTCTTTCTTTTTAGGTGTATGCCCTGTGACCGAGTGAACTTGTACCTTATCAGGCGGACAGCCCAAAAACTGTCTCAAGGACTTGTCTTCAGCTACAACAATATAATTAGTTAACGCCTGAGCCTTGTGGGGGACTAGTGGGTCCACTCACTATGAACATACCCCAAATCCAGCTGGGTAAATAATTCGTGGTTGTTAGTTGCAATGCAGGCCAAACGCAAGTCAGAAGAGCAAACAGGGGTGAATTGTGGGATGAATGTGGCAAGTGCAGAAAAGGTTTCTCGCTCATGATTGACAATTGATCAATACATGGCTGTGTGATGCTCTATGTCGAGCTTTTGCAGGAGGTGGGCAACCTGTGCAGGTGGAAGAGTAGCAGCACATGCATTGGCTATTTTTGTGATAGAGAAAGGAGTGAGATTAGGAGCGGAGACCATGTCACGGATGCATGATATGACAATTGTTCGTCTCTGCTTCTTCCATAGAAAGGAGAATAAACTCGGCTGCCATCTGCCAGTGGAGTGGACAGAATCTAACAGTGATGCGGACAAGGCGATCTCATCATATGTGGGAGGTGTGTCAGTTACAGACTGTCTATCATCGAAATTGTCAGACTTGGTAGCCATCATCATGAAGGGGAGAGGAGACTCGAGTTAGGGCATTTTCTCCTACTTCATCACCACGCACCGTGCTACTGTCGCTCGCTGATGTTAACACCGAGAAGGCGGAACATTTCCTGTAACCTTTTATCAAACTGATACATGTTGTGCTAAAGCACCGTCGGCACAGTAAATCTTGCCAATTATTTTCGTGACAGAACTTGATAAACACATACGCGTCTCGTCGTCTTCGTAATTGAAAGAGTAATCTTTACATCCTCGTGCCCAGTCAAGTCGAGTGAATCGAGATGTGCACATAGTAAAGCGCTCAGTTGAAACTCACTCGCTCATCTCATCCTCGTCTTCGATCTCATCACCTTCCCGTTCTATATCCGTGCATCCACCCTCGATTTGAACAACCTCCCCGCTAGCAGCGTCCCACCTTGCCAACAACCCAACCTTGAACACCACCATCTTCTCACCAAGAAGTTTAAGTAGCTGCGCCTGCTCGCCCGTCAAAACCTTCCCTTTATCACATACTCGATGAGGATTTTCAAGCGTCGGTACACCCCGCTTCATCGATGTCGTAAGACCCAGCTTCCGGAGTTGCGGGTCCTCGTTATGTGGGAACGGTTCAGGCGGGTCAGAGTGCACCCGCATCACAGGTCCTGCAGGTAGTATCACCGTCCGCGTAGCCTTGTTTCCCGTTCGCGCATAATCCGCTTGTTGGAAATCGTTGAACCACTCTGTCACTTCTTGAGGTTCCGAGTCTGTGAAAAACAGCCCTACCTGGCCTTTTATTTGCTGACATATTTCGTTAAAGCTAAGATGAGCTTAGAAATGGTAACTCACTTGGGCTAGTCGGTGGAGTCCCATTCGGTGCTCTTCTTCTACTGTCGTGCCCAATGCTTTGGCCATTACCGCTCCTCGACCGAAAAATATCCGTGCAGAGCTGCAAGTCGTGAGTCGATGGTGTAGATAGCAAAAGAAGCGAGGACATACTCTTTCCATAGTTTTCGCACCGTTTTTAGATGTGCATTTCGCATCGCGCCGACTTGAAACAACCAGCAGTACTTCCATTTTTCGGCATTTTGTTGTACCTTGAGGAAGAAACGTTCAGCACTCGCATAGCAGGGGGCCAAGCAGTAGAAACCGTCTTGCAATTATGGGTCTGTCTACGCAGAATGTATCCAGAGGAAAGAACAAATTCCACAAAACTCACCTCGGTCAAGAGTAGATTTTTATGCTCCCTCGTCTTTTTCGCGACTTTTGTGAGAGATACTATCATCCCAGCAGAATAAAACATCAGCCTTCATCACGATCCATCAAAGAATGTAAACTTGCCGATTTGCGACCGTTTTGACTTGGGCATGATATGTATGTAGGAGAACAAGGTTTAGCAAATGAAATCAAAAGTCCGCTGGGCCGAATTATCTTTTATCTCGATCTCCCTCTATGTCGGACGCAGTTTCTCCAAGGGAGCTCTCTGCCCTTCGCGCTGCTCTCCTGAACACGAGTGGTACTGTTCCATTGCATGATCGTTTCAGAGCTCTCTTCACGTTGAAAAGTTTGAAGAATGACGATGCAGTTAAGATCATCTCTGAAGGTACGTGTATTTTGTCTGCTCTCTGAATTTTTGTTTGTGCGATACTTTTTCTTTCGATCTTAACATAAACCGTCATCTCTTTTCATGAAAGGCCTTATATACGATTCCCGCTAAGATGAGCGTGCGCTGATGCACGATTTATCTGCTAGGCTTCGCCGATCACTCGGCACTACTCAAGCATGAGCTTGCGTACTGCTTAGGACAGATGAAGCTCGTCTCAGCTCTCCCAGTTCTTCAGTCAGTGCTGGAGAATCTGGGCGAGGATCCGATGGTACGGCACGAGGTGAGCGTCTCCATCGTCCCGCTTCGCAGTCCCGCTTTTGTACGCTCCAGTGCATCATGATACTAATTAGTATTCGAGACAGGCAGCAGAAGCAATAGGCGCAATCTCATCGCCTGATTTCAAGGTAGTCCTCACGAAGTACCTCACAGATCCCAACAGGAGTGTGCGTGAGACGTGCGAGATCGCGCTCGCCAAAATTGAATGGGATAATTCTGAAGAGGGACGTCAGCATCTTGCGTCAAAAGAATCTTCAGATCAGACACCGTATGTAGCTTTCATGTCCTGTTTGGATATTCCATTCTACGTCCTTTACTGCGTGATTCACAACACTTACACAGGGCATACACCTCCATCGACCCCGCTCCACCCTCATCCAAACTTCTCTCTGGCCAGCCCAAACCTGATGACCTGTCTGAATCTGCAATTGTCTCCCTCCGTACCACGCTTTTGGATACGTCCGTCCCCCTTTTCCAGCGCTATCGGGCTATGTTTGCACTCCGCAACATCGGGACGCCAGCGGCCGTGGATGCACTAGCAGCAGGATTCTCTGATGACAGCGCCCTATTCAAGTCTGCCTCTTTTCCATTTTTGACTTGGTCACGACGCTCAACTCATGCACTGCAGGCACGAAATCGCCTTTGTTTTCGGTCAACTCTTGAGCGCGCACTCTGTACCCTCACTGCTTAATGTTCTGCAGGACGCATCTGAGTCCGATATGGTGCGACACGAGGCTGCGGAAGCGCTTGGAGGAATCGCCACACCTGAGGTGCTGCCTCATCTTAAAGAATGGATGACGCGCGAGGATTCTCCGCGCGTTGTGCGGGAAAGCTGTCAGATTGCTGTTGACATGTGGGAGGTGTGTTATTTCTCGTTTCTTTTGAAGCTTTTAGGATCTATCTCTGACAATTGGTAGTATGAGAACTCGGGGCAATTCCAGTATGCGAATGGACTGGAGAGTGTTAGGGTAGAGGCTACTCCTGCCTGATCTGTGTCGTCGTCGAATCTAACTGTTAATCAACTCATAAATGTGATCAGCGCGCCCAATTTACGCCAAATGTGATGAATCCCGGGATCCCGAAAGGTCGGCAAGCCCTTATGTTCTTTATAGAATTAGTTTCTCCTCTGATCTGCGTCTGCATCACCATTAGATTCCATCAGGAAGACGCGGCCGTGTATATTTTCTTTTTCCGCAGAACAAGCAGAAACGGACAATCATTCTACGCATTCATGATGTTGTTTCCGTTCCTAATTTTCCCTCTTCTTCGGTTGCCACAGGCCTGTGTTACTATTATCTCCCCGCAGATTTTGCCCATCCCCTGCGAGAATTCAATATCGAGGATCTCGGTGTACAACATGATCTTCAAGAGTCTCTTGATAGCACCTGTCCCACCTGCTTGCACGAGAATATGGGGCACTTCGCCCGCTGCTGAGTTTCAGAACTTGTACGGCCCTGCGGTGGCTCATGCTCTTCTTGTCTTTAGTGTATCTCTTGCTATCGCTTTCGCAGCTACGCGAGCCTTTAGTGTTTACCCGGGTGAATTTGGGCGCGTTCTGAATCGCAAGTGCATGCTACCAATGCTCGCGAGTCGCATGAGTGCATCAACTAAAACACTAATCGGTTAAGATACTGAAGGAGTTCAACGAGTCGGCCATCAACTAATCCCCCGAAAACATGTAAGCTTCAGTGAGTGTGGTCTCTCATTTTTGAGATACATCCAAAGCCCAGACTTCCTATGGATTCAGAGATACAACAGCTTTCGGACCGCTACATACATACTCCGAGTCGTACAGCTCGCGGGCGGCCGTCTGCTTCTGAAAATCCTCAGATATGACCCCCGAATTGAGGTCAAAATAGCGACCGCGATGTCATCATCATGAGCTACAGTGTTTGCGGTACCTCCGAGTCCAATGCTTTTGCAACGAGTACGCGCGTTCTCCGAGTCGCAGCATAGGCCATGCTAATTTTTTTGGATTCCAATTTGTGTCCATATCTTTTGTATGACAATACTTTCTATTCTATGGGACCCTCGTTGTTCTTTCTGATCTCTGAGGTCGCGAATGCCAAGATGTAAGGCCTGCCCCAGTCTGTGTCAATTATGGTGGGCAATAGCCGATATAAATCCCTTGGTATGGACCCAAGTGGTCCAAGACGTTGCCCTCAAATATGTTGGGCACACTCTTGACTGTGCACTGATCATCCGTGGAATCATCGTCACCTATATATACCGATGAGAGATGAGCGATCATGTCCGAAAAGGCATATGTTATACTTGCCTGGACACAGGACTACTTGATCATCAGATACGATGTGGACCTCTCCATGGACATGTGAGTAGCCCAGCTCGGGCCCCGGAACAATCGGGACAATGTCCTTCTTATGGTTAACGCGTTTGAAGTCCGATACCTGTTCCGTAATTTCAGTAATCAAGTATAGACTCAATGTGGTGAATGGACAACAGGATCAGAAGGGGAGAATCAAGCTTACCAGGGAATCAAAGAGAGCGGCCCATGCTGGATTTCCTACGCGGGGTGTACCAAATGTCACACCTTTGATAGTGATGTGAGAGGGAAGGTTCAAGGCCATAAACACACATTCGATCTCCGCGAGGGCAGCTCCCAGAGAGTGCCCGACCTGCGCTCGAAAATGTGTTTTAGAGTAGTCACAAAATGTTTGATACTGACCAGTGTGACACTCGTGGCGTTATATTGAGAGATCAAGCTCTTCACCTCCGTCAAGATGGCGCTCGCAGTTTTCGCATGCTCGTCGGCAAATCCGCTGTGAACCTTGATGCTCCTATCGACACCAGGGAAAAGCGTGGAGTCCAGGTGTTCCACCAACCCATTGGCATCAGTAAGAACAGCTAGGCTATGTAGGCCAATAAGCTTTCCCGACTCGCGTGCTGTGAAACATTTACACCTACATTGAAGTTGGGTCTGTGCCTTCATGAGCAACTACCACGGTATTTTTTGTCGGCCAGTAGCCAACGTAGTCTGCGAAATGTCTGCAAAGGCATGCAATATCTTGATTGAAACGTACAATATTGGATACTGTTGTCGTTACCCCCGGTGAGAGAAACCTTGAAATCAGACAACGCCTCGCAAGATTCTAAGAAACCAATTATTGAGTCAAGGCAAATCAAATAAAGTAGGGTGAGATTGCGTACTGCCACAACTCCAGCTCCCTACGATGAGAGGCGAACAATAAGCAATACGAGCAAATTCAGCATATGGCTTCAGATCAGCTACATCGGTAGACGACATCTGAGTGACAACTGAGACATCCGCCCGACGCATTGCAGAAGGTGCGCGATAAGAGACCGCCGCAACCTGCAAGATGCATGCTAGCATAAGGCTTGAAGCAAAAGAAAGGAAAAACATGATGTACTGCAAGGTGTAATGGATGAAAAGCTGGAATGCCGGGTCCCAGAGGAGGGATGTAGTTGGTAGCATTGTGAAGGAAACATGATTTATACTGAGTATTTTGGAACGACAACTGCGTTAGGGATTAACAGCGCGCGCGCAAACGGGCACAGGCAAACTGGTGCCATGCAGTACAACTATTCTGGCAGAACTCGGAGTTCTGCCAACCGGTCTGGCAAAATCAGTTATGCCTGACCTCATGCGAAGGGACAGTGGCAAAATCTGGCAGAACTCTAAAAACATCCGAGACTGGGGAGATATGATTTAGATCTAATGATACCATTTAAATTCAACGACATGAAAGCCGACGTCTCTAGAGTAAGATGGTGCACGCTGGAGAACGCACTCTCGTGTCGCTGTACTGGTCCAGAGGGTATCTCGCTTGACGACGTTACCGCTGAGTTTGCGGCTTTCGAGGAGTTGAAGAGAACCGAAGAAGATCAAAGCATTAAGCTGAAGTGCTCGAGAGAAATGCCGTTGATTTTTGGCGAGTTGGATCGGGTCGAACAAGGAATAATTCCACAGGCTATTAATTCTAGATGAGGTTGGATGGCGAGGTCATACTCAATAGTTTACATACCCTGGAGTTTTGCCGGTTATTTGAACCGGTAGAACTGATCTCAAACGTGCCCAATACATAAGATCCATGACAGCGGTGGAGGTTTAGTCGACGTGTACACGCTGATGTGACTTGGAGGTTCTCAGTGAGTGGAATACCTCGAGCACTCCAGTAGATAACGAACATCCTGGCCCAGCAACGTACTGTTATCGATAAGATTGAACTGACGCGCAACCTCCTCCCGCGTCTCCATAGTACCGATTGTGGACATAAATATTATCCGGACCCACATATTCATGCGGAGTAGACATGAGCATGGCGCGTTGTACGCAAGAGAAAGAATTTCCCGCGCTTACTAGTACATTCTCAACTTCCGGGAAGGCCGAGATTATATTGCGGGTCCTGCAGTTCTGGACGGCTGCTGTTTGGCCGTGGCTAATGTAGAGGCTACTAGTCCCGACTCCCTGCCAGTACTAGAAGCTTGGTTGGTTGGTTGGTTGGTTGCGCCGCATGATACCGTGACCATTGGTTGAGCCATGAGAAACAATATATCGGAGCGGCGCCAGTCTCCTCGCTTCACGATTCCAGAGTAAGTTGATGCATTGATGATGTTGAGGTATCGTTGAACTACCCAATGGCACCCTGTTGTGTACATATTTGCAATCCCTTATTTGTTCCACCACGCTCCCGTTCAGCTTGCTTGCGATGGCGATAGCATAAATACTAGCATATGTTATGTTTAGCAGGAGCAGAAGTTTACAAATGCTACATTGATGCAAAAAACTTTTAACTCATGGGTTCACTGATGAGCTGAGTTTGCGCTGAAATCGCGTCCGAGTCCGAGTCAATCCCTCCGGATTTACTCAGCAGACGACTCATCTTGTTGCTTCCATCGAGCTCATCGCTTACCACGGCCTATAACATCAGCTTCTGTCTAAGAAACCGCCTGCTCAAGGTGTGTGTTTCGTATATGGTTTTCTGGAAAATTATCTGAATTTGCACCTGCGGCACTATGTAGTTGATCTCTAAACCATTTCCGTCGAACTACGGATGGCAGACTGTTCTTGTCGTATCCTCATTCTATCTTCTTCGAAAGACGACACCTTGCAGTTTCTGCAAAGCACGTTTGTCGCTGCAATGTAATCATTTCTTGCATTGACGAGTCGACGCAGGACTTGCACACAGTGACCTCCCGATCGCAACCGACAATTCATTCACCATCCCTTGGACTATCACGAACAAGTACTACACTGCTGATGTGCACTTCGAATTCCATCACCTCCCATATTGGACACCGAACAACCACGAGTTAGAAAGCGTGCCCGCCGTGGTGTACACATGGACTGTCGGAGAGGTAAGTGCTCAAAGGCTTGCTATAGTTTTTGTATATGCCTGACTTTTGAGCAGCCATACCGGGAGAATGTCCAGATGATATCACAACGCCTATCACATCATGATTTCGAAGTATCTCTGGCCATTCGGCTTCCGTCCACTACGCCCGGAGGCGAAGATACTGAAGATGACGAAATAGACTCGTTTCTTGGAGCCCTGGGGTTTGAATTCATTGATGTGCAAGATCTAGCAAAATCTTCTGACCATCATGATCATGGCGGTAAGCATATGTTTCTGAAACATGGAGAGACTCGTCCTGAGTTCCACTCCAGGAGTTTCCCGGGCCATAGATGCATTGAGCACGATTATGTGGCCCTCCATGGTACAAACCTCCAAAGGAAGGGGTCTTGGCCTCTTGACGACGAACCGTGATACCGGAGAAGACCTCAGCAGTCTCATCGCTACGCGCTCCCCAGGAGGGCGTGATCGTATGCAGCGAGAACTCGAAGAGTTAGAGCGGTGGCTCGACGAAGACAATTTCGAAGGACATCTTCATACAAGTGAGAAAACCATAAGCAATGATCCGTGGAGTGCCGCAGCCACAACCGGCAGCTTGTCGCCTACAGAGGATTCCTCTACCCAGGGTCTCTACAATCACACGTTTGATGACGATTTCACCGCTTTCGTGTCTGCTTCAGCGTCTGCAGCAGATGCTGAAACTCAGCTTGCACAAGTATCATCTGAGAGACAAATTCCACCTCTCCCTTCGTTGAGCTTCAGTTCAACGTTCACTTTCAACTCTGGTTCTGATACTTCCGGGCGATCGACGCCAGCTAATGAAGAGCACGACTTTTCTCGCTTATCCGCGAATGCCTCAGATCTTGGTATATCTTATAGGTCGTTAGGGTCAGTCTCCGATTTTGGAGACCCAGAAGCAGAAGAATCCCACAAACACGAAGATTCTAGCGACGAAATGCCTTCGAATGCTGAGATTGCTGCAACCTCAGAGCGTATCTTCGGTGCAACATCTCTTGCTTTTTCACCCACTGATGAAAATTATGTCTGTTCACTGCAAGGGGATCTTTCCGTGCCATCTGAAGTTGAAACCGCCGACCCACCAGAGACGGACCTCGAGCGCTTCGATCTGCGAAGCATGTTGAGCGCGCTTCAGGGTCTTAAGGAGGAAATTGCGGGGATGCCCGATTCGCAGGAACGTAAGAGGGCAGCTGCTAGAGTGGCTTTGGGTTTGGTTTATGGGCTCAATGGAAATTCCGATTGAAAGGTGCGCACCAACAGCACGCAGTGACTTCCGCTAATTCGGGAGATGGTAGTAAGGGACTGTATACACGGCCGGGAGGTTTTGTTATCTACAATTGTCTTGCGCGACTAGTTGTATAGACGCGAACCCGTTTTGAATCCGTCAAATTCATTCTGTTGCACTTCTCTCGTTTATGTGCCGAGTTGGGTGCTGTATCTGACGAATATCATAATTCCGACCTTATCCCAGGGATGTTCCCAACCCTCTATCCGTTTGGAATAAGAGGCTTTGATGATGATGCACGTCCCACTCCTATAGCCTTTCAAAAACAGGTCAATTATTATTTTGACTTGGTGGACCGGACGTTTCGGTATCACCGTTCCTACATGTTTGTCGTGCTCAATATACTCCAGCGACGAACCGCTCATCTCCACACGCATTGATACTCTTTTTCTTTGGCTTGCTGGATTGGGTTTCTATGTTTGATATTTCATTCTGCGCTTCTTATCTGGTCTGGCGGTACTCATGTTCTTGTGGAGTGTCTCTTGCATTCATCATCGGGGCAACTAAATTTGGTATGGATCTGGAACACATTGATAACCGTGACCTAAGTACTTTGTGAGTCAATCGTTTGTATGGTACTACACCCATTGTATGTTACTAGTTCCACATCAGCTTGGGCCGGACGCGTTGATGATCTTGGACCAAAAAAGGAGTCGGGATTTTGGGCGCGTAGTCGCTGGTACCCATTAAGTTATTCGGCATTCTCTTCGTCTTCTTCCTTGTCCTCATCTCCAGTCTCATCCCTGATACCTCCCGACACGAAGCTCATGATACCAGCAGCATCAAGCTTTGCCACTACGTCTTCCGCAACGCTAACGTCCATACTGCCCAGCACTCTGTTGACCTCATCCAGCGTCCCAACTTTGAGCGCAGCCTTGAGGTCCTCGGGGAAACTCTGGAACACATCCCATCGCATGTGCAATGCTTCGCGCACTTGCTCAAGGTCCAGGTCCTCCGTCCCTGGACCCTCAAGGCGCAAGTCCTCAGGCGGAGGACCATCAGGTACGTTGAACGAGATAGTTGCGGATGGATTCTCCGGCACAAGTTGTATCTGCTCCTTCTGCACGTCAGAAGTCTCTGTCGCTGCTGCTTTTGCACGGGTCTTAAGGTGAGAATATGTGCCTTCGACATCATTGACGAAGACGGAGATAGCGCGCTGGTCGCCTGAGATCATCCTACGAAAGTATTAGATTAGTATATGTATGTCAGCTTGCGCAGGAATTAGGTACTTGCTTCTGGAAAAATAGTCGGACGCCATCTTTACCTAGCTTATCGCAGTACTGCAGGAGTAAGCTTTGGTGCACGCACTTCTTTGCGTATCCGAACTGGCCCTTCGACTCTGCACGGAAAGCCGCCACAAGTAACGCGTCAGATGCACCGGGAACGACGACGTCACGATTCGCTTGAATAAAATTGAAAGATTGGGTGTACTCCCATAACGATAATTGAGAGAATTGTTCGAGAGAAGGCGTAAGTTCAGGAAGTTCTTCCTCTAACTCATCTTCCTCAACCGAGTCTGGAGAATGGTTCGGAGTAACCGACGGCAATGGCGCGTTAGAATTCGAGGCAGTAGGATTCAGCACCTCGAACTCGGTGGTTTTGGTCGCCTTGGTCTTTGTCGGCGCGTCGATTTTAGCATTCTTTACGGGTGGAGGCGGTGGTTTAGCGGGAGTGTACTATCGGGAGCGTCGTGAATACCATCAATCAAGAGTAAGATATCGCCGATCTTACCTTGCTATCGAATCCTTCGTAGATATCGTCGCTTGTTATGTGTTTCTTTTGTTGATTCTCCTCGTCAACAACATCCTTCTTCAGCTTCTCTGTGTGACGTGCGAGCTGCTTGATGTGCGTGTCGATACCGCTGAGTACAGCAGCCTCCTGCTCATCTGCAGGAAGGCTCTTGGCGCCATCCCAAACCTGCAGGAGCAGGGACAACACCATTGCATCGTAAGTTGGTTGATCTTTGGCGTTCGTCGGCGGCGCTTCTGGAGATGGCTGCGTTTGTAATCTCTCTACCAACTGTTGAAAGTATATTAACCCGCCGTCTGCGCTGCCAAGTGTAGCGCGGATTGCGTGCAGACGGGGGGAAAGGACGGCATTGCATGCGATCTCGGCGTGGAGGGCTGAGATCTTGGTTTTGCGGGCCTCGCGCTTCTCGTGTATATCCCGTTGCTTCCATCTTATGAGAGAACGCTTGTCGACGTTCGGATGGCCTTCTATGTCGGAATCATCAGAGAGCTCGAGTTGATCCCATTTGGAATAGTTAAGCGGCATTGCGACGTACGTCTTTGCGCTGATCAAGAGGAATCAACCGATCTCGATCAGGATTTTACAGCTATTTGCACAATGGTAGAGGCCGGCGGTAATTTCCAAAAAAAAGTATGCATTTATTTTCGAAAAGTATTCCTACAAAGATTGATTTTTATCTCAACAACGAAGCTATTGACATGGTCCAAGCGACAAAACTAATCAAAACAATCAAACGCAGACGATCAGCGAAGAAACTGAGCGATTCAGTGGAGTTGATGGGCGTCCCTGGTAGGCACTGTTTCATGGTATCTAGTCCTGCGCCCTTCGCATAAGCGACATCCCAGAGATCCAGGGTATCTCCTGAAACTATGTGAGTGAATGTAAAGACAAAAGCGTGTCAGAATCCTTACCCGTACGTTGGATGAAGACGGCCACGTCCCGATCGACTTGGTCCCGGAATTGTTGCATAAGGCCATCCAAAGCGTCGCTGTACTGTTTGATCGTGCCGTCAGTTTCCGAAATAACATTTTTCCCGAGTCTCTTCCCTATAATGTAGTATAAGATTCGTGTACAAGATACGATTGCTTGGTGACTCACAAAAGCTCTTTGTCTCCGAGTAGTCCCTGATGAAAGGGGCACACTCGAGAGTCTGGTGAACGATTTTTCCGACGATATCGCGCGTCGATTCAATTTTTCCAAGACTGTCATCTTGAGCCATGAAGCGGTAAACTTCAGCCAATTTCTTGAGAAGATTAATAATCGATTGGTCGCGCTGTGCCTGCGCGATTATGATCTTCATGGAATTAGAACTTCTGAGCAGGAAACTAAATTCCGGGAGAAACCAAACATACTTTGGATGCAGCAGATAGCACGCCCAGCGCCATTTTTGCGTACGGATGTACCTATACAACTTGATTAGTTCCCTTTCAAACAAACAACAAGAATGGCCCATACGTCTGTGATCTTCTCAAGGACAGCATCGATAATCTTGAGGGGTCGGAGATATGTCGTCTCAAAATCGTCTGCAGCAGTAAGATCCGCTGGGCCATTGTCGACGGCGGATGCCATAGAAGTCGCATGTTTCCCGAGTGATCGCATGTGTTGTGTACCATCACGGGCACGCTGAAGTTCGGCGTCAACTAATTGGGGATCAGGTCTTCCTTCCTCACCAGAAGGAGCCTGAACCTGCGGTACCGCCAAAATTAGAGAAGAAAATCAGAGTATTTGATGGAAATACCTGCGGAGCAGGCTCTCCGGACAATCCTTTGTTCGCGGGGTCACTTGGAAACTCAGATGTGGTGGGATGCTCGTTTTCGTTAGAAGGCTGGGGATGCGACGTGTCCTGAGCGCCTCTAAGAAAACTGAAGGACTGGGATAGCAAGTTCGAGCACTTACCTCGACTTGCTGACTCGATGAAGCCCCTTCAATTTCGACATCGTGGACCGCAGTGGCGCGGTTGCGTGTTCGCTTGGAGCGTTTCTGTATAATCTTAGCCGTATTCAGGACAAACAGTATTCACGTCTACGCACAGGAAGCTTTTTGGTTAACCCATTCTTCAATTTCCGCAGGAACTGAGAAGATTCTTTAGTACGAGGTTGATTCTAGACGAATAATGCGTAAGAACCACGATGGATTTCAAGAGACGACGTACCGAGCTTTCAACTACATTTGCCTGATTGGATCTGGAAGTTCGTGGAGGAGGATCAATATCTGGCCTATGATCTTCAGTCATCGCGAGTGGTTGTAGATTTAGATCGTTGTGAAAGAAACGGTGGGGTACACTGAGAAGTGGTGTGAGAAGGGAATGGACGTCCCACTCTCTTTGGCAGAACTCCAAAGAACGTACGAAGCATGATGGCCAGCATGTTGACTTCAAGGGTTATGCATTCAGCCACACAATTCCCATCGGTTCCGGCGGGGCGAGTCCATAGCTGTAGCAGACACAGCTCAGCGACAGACGAAGTCAAATACACATATTAGGTGTACCTGTAGAAGACAAAGCTACAGAGGTCGTCAGATACATAGGTGGTATATACGAGAATGATACTAACCTCAGCGACAGACGACGTACGGCAAATAGGAATGGTCGTGAATCATCCAACTTGATCTGGAAGTCGAATGTAGAACATATAGGAATGGCGCGTCAGTGACCGTGTCTGACTGCCGCGTCACATGCCCGTCATGCAGGCGTCACAGCTGTGTCACGACCGCGGCAGGCGCGCGTCAAGACTCAAAATAGCTATGACACCCTAACAGGATTAAGTATAGCAGTCGTATGCACCACACACACCATCTACTAAGTTACGTGTGAACAACTCGAACCACCTTCAGATACGTCTGTTACTTCTGAACGTCCATTGTCCATGAACGTCAGCTCTCACTCGCTATTGCAGGATCGTGTTCGCCAATGGACAGTCCACGCACGATGTCCACGAGCCTCCGCTGTTCCTTCCGCCAAGTGTTGTCACAATCCTGAGTAGCGCGTGTGTACTGCCATCGGAATCTGTTAGGAATCTTAGGATGTGTTGGAGCGCCCTCAAGAATGTTGAAGTTCCAATAGATTCTGGAAGCATTCCCAAACGTTTCTGGATGGCCAAATTAGGCCAGAACGATGCGGACAGTACGGACGGGACGGACGGTCCTTTCCAAATTTCCAGTATATACGCCTGAACCGTCCCACATAACGAGGACCCGCAGCTCCGGAAGCTGGGTCTGACGACATCAATGAAGCGGGGTGTACCGACGCTTGAAAATCCTCATCGGGTATGTGATAAAAGGAAGGCTTTGACGGGCGAGCAGGCAGAGCTACTCAAACTTCTTGGTGAGAAGATGGTGGTGTTCAAGGTTGGGTTGTTGGCAAGGTGGGACGCAGCTAGCGGGGAGGTTGTTCAATTCAAGTCAGGCTTTTCCAACTTACATAATTTGTTACTCGATTGAACCGATGATCAAGTCATTTGACTCTGAGTGAAAAAGCACGAGCTGTGGTCTCATGTACGTTTTTTCCCGAGCGGGTACCCCTTGAGGTCACATGTGATCTTACTCATGAGAACACGCGGTACTTGGCCACTTAGTCGCACGACGTTGACTGGATTGCACGCAATAGTGAGTGACAGTGAGCGATAATTTATCACCTCGTGTTGAACCTGAGCTAGGTCCAGGCCGTGGTGCACGAGGCCGTAGTATATTTTCAAAGTTCAAACGTACACGCCTGATGCGTATACTTCCTTTCTTGCAGCTGGGCTTCGCTGCTCAGGTGCCATTATATTCCAGTTCCATTCCACCAGCTCCTGTCCCACAAATCCCTCAGATGGCTACAGATTTTATCCTTAGCGAAGGTGCAAATGCACTCTCCCCGCAAGATATGCTCACCCTCCCTCGGCCTGGTGCGCCTCTGCCAAACGACATTGGTGATCTTGCCATCGTACCCATCAGCACTTACTCTTTTCAGGACCGCAAGTATGCTCATCTTTCTTTTATTTGTTCTTATAGTCATAATATTAATGTTCACTACCTGGCCCTTAGGTCCCACAAGTCACTCTCCGTCATCGCTCTTGGCGATGGCGATGCCTGCGACATTCCTTTGCCCGATGGCGGCGATGCATTCTGGCTTGATTCTCGCACCATCGCACACGTCGTGACAAAGGATGACACACAGAGCCTCTACACCATCCCCATCAGCACTTCTCCTCTCTCTTCCGATCTCTCCTCCCACGTAGGATCCTTTCCCATCACCACTGCAAGCGCGTTCCGTTACAGCCCCAGCGCTCAGCGCCTCGTGTTCTCTGCATACGTTTATCCTGATGGCCTCGTCGAGACCGTGAAGGAGCAGGACACAGCGCATGAGAATCGAGGTAATTCTGGTCTGGTGTATGATGAGACCTTTGAGCGCCAATGGGATACTTGGGTTGGTCCCAAGAGCAAGGCTCTCATTGGGGTCAGTCTGACAAAAGTAGGTGCAAAGTGGGTGCTGGGGGAAACCTATGTGAACGTGCTCAAGGGGTCAGGACTTGTAAGTGCTTGTTTCCACTCTTCAGGATGGCGGTGAAACTGATTTGAGCTAGTCTTCCCCTGTAGAACCGTTCGGTGAGGCAGATGACTATGACATTTCCCAAACGCATGTCATCTTCACTGCCAAGGACCCACAACTCCCCAAGGCCGTGCACACCAGGCAGAATGTTCGTGCACTTCGTGTCTTGCTCTTTCTACGCTAACATACTACCACGTAGATCTACCTCGTTACACATGACGGAAAAGACCTTAGACAGCTCACCTCAGGCATCCAAGGTGCGACGCACTCTCCCGTGTTCAGCCCTTCTGGCGATAAAGTCGCTTGGCTGGAATTGGCTCTCGATGGGCACGAGAGTGATCGGTGGGTTATGCGACCTTTTTATATATCGTTTTGACCTTATTTCAATGCATGTACCTCTCACTCGCCCATATACCACTTTCCACGTTGTGTCCAGCGCGAAAGTGGTGATCTACGATCTCAAGAAAGACATCCGGTTCACCATTACGGAGGACTGGGACCGCTCCCCTGATTCTATCATCGTGAGTTCATCCTCATTCAATTGTCCTTACTTCCTTCATTCCTATCTTCTAAATTGTGATACTTGTCATTTCCTTACGCGTTTACTCATCCCTCCTATACGTCTGTCGTCATACCAGCCAGCTAACCCAAACCCAGTTCTCCCCTTCCTCTGCTCTCATTTACGCCACCACCGGCGATCACGCCCGCATCAAGATCTTTGCGCTGGCTGTCCCGCTTACACCACCCTCCAACGCCACACAGACCACTCAACCTACAGCCCTCACCTCCAGCGGTTCTATATCAGGCTTCACGCCAATCCCAGGTGGCAGGGCCACATTTGCGCTTTCGAGTCTGACGTCTCCAAACGAGCTGTACGAGCTTAGTGGGCTTGACGCCGTTGAGCGAGATCTCTTAGCAGGAACAAACGCGGATGTAAAAGCGACAATGCTTACGCGCCTTACTTCGTTCTCTTCTACTGGACTACAAGGCAAAGATCTCTCTCCCGGGAAGGATTTTTGGTTCAAAGGTACGGCTGAGGGGCAGGACACACACGGTTATGTGATTACCCCACCTGGATTCGAACGCGGCGTTAATGGGAAGTGGCCTGCGGTGATGCTTATCCATGGAGGCCCGGAGAGCGCTTGGTTTGATCAGTGGTCGACGCGATGGAATCCTAATGGTACATAATTTCCTTTTGCTGGGTTACTAAGGTTGGGCTGATTTTTGGGCTACGTGCGCTCTAGTCTTCGCGAGCCAGGGATATGTGGTTGTTGCTATCAATCCAACGGGGTCTACTTCATTTGGACAGAGTGAGTTACCCTCTTCTCTTGTCTGTTCTTGTGCTGAACGCAATATGTTAGAATTCACAGATGGGATCAATCAAAACTGGGGAGGTCGGCCCATCCAAGACTTGTTGCTGGGGTGGAAGTATATCCTTCAAGAATACCCAGAGGTGACACCTTGTGTTTCTCCCACTCGACACATACTGACCTCGATCTCTGCACATAGATAGACCAAAACCGCACAGCAGCTGCTGGTGCTAGTTATGGCGGATATGCAATCAAGTGCGTGTCATCTCCTTTTCGCCCTTGATATCTTGTGTCCTAATTCTTGCTCTTTGCAGCTGGATCCAAGGCAATCCCGAGCTCGGATTTGGGTTCAAGGCATTGGTCTGCCATGACGGTGTGCGTTTTCCCTCGTTGCATGAAGGAGCGAATGAAGACATTGATCCATTAACATAAAATAGGTATTCGACACAACCTATAATGGCTATGCCACAGACGAACTATTCTTCGTGCGTTTCCCATTCCTCCCTTACAACACTAAACACTAACACACTACAGTTCAATCACGAATGGGGAGGACGTCCATGGGATCCTGCCGCATTCGAAGCCTCGCGCAAATACAGCCCCGCGTATACCGTTGCCAAGTGGTCGACCCCGCAGCTGACAATTCATAGCAGCAAGGATTACAGGCTTCCAGAGGGAGATGGGATTGCGGTGTTTCATGCGTTGCAGCAGTGCGTTTTTCTTTTCTTTTTCGTTCTGGTTCTTCGTATATCGTTCTCTTGCACCTATCTTTTTTTTCAATCCGTCGTTCCTCTTTTCCTTTTATCTTGGCTCCTAGCAGGTGATCCATACTAATCGACACGCATATAGGTTGGGCGTCCCAAGCCGCCTTTTGATTTTCCCAGACGAGAACCATTGGGTGATCAACGCTGGGAATAGGTATGTATGCAATTCTACACGCCGGTCATGAACTAATGCTTTGACTGGAATAGTTTGAAATGGCACTACGAAGTATTTAGGTGGTTGAATCAGTTCATCGGGCTTTCTTAGACACGAACGCGTCACTAGGAGAGGATCTCTTTTTGAAAATGGTAGAACTAAAGGATAAGTTTTGGAGGGGCAAATTGGCCGTTTGTAAGATAACACACTTGACTGTACTTGAATGGGTAGAACTTCTACGATTTATGATTTGCGTGCTGAATCAAGACCAGGCCTGTGGTTATCCAGCTTCGTCTGGCTCTAGAGTCAACGACACAATCTATGAGGTTGGGCTAGAGTCGCTGCACCGAGTGGGGTGGGACGCAAGCAGGTGGGCGGGAACCTGCTTACGAGTTCGATTGTGTGCTGACTCGTGCATGAACGATGCATCCAGTCAGACCCTGAATTTTCTCGGCTTTCATCCGACACTACACCACGTGAACATCCTAAAAATGAGCAAAAATCAGATCTATATAGAGTCGGTACGAATCTACAATCCTCTAAATTCGTGGAAGATAATATGGAGTAGTTGACGAGTTACAATAGATGCTGATCGAGGTTTGCTGCTTGCTTGATTGATCAGACTATGCTGTACCTCCTGCTATAGCTAAGTTATAGGAATCGTTAATGGATGACTCGGTTTGTACAAAAGAACGTCGCAAAAGTTAATAGACCTGCCAGTGAGCCCAGCTTCGATTTTACAAGTAAAGGTGTATTTGGGTGACTGGCAGTACGGTACTGCCCAGAGAAACCTGGAGTCTTCACATACTATTCACCCACATATACATCATCTCTATTCACCTGATGCATGATGTCCTGTTTCTTCGGAAGGCTTTCCCTAGCTTTTCGCGTTACACTTACCTCACACTAGTTTCGAGCCTCAAGAGGCTCGAGTAAACTATTCAACTCCCTTACCAGGTCCTCGATCTCATCATTTCCTCAACCTCCTCACCACTTTCACCAATGCGCGCCACCTTGTCGAATCGCGCCCCAAACCTGCCCGTCATCTTGTTTGCAACCCTCACCAACGCACGCTTCGTCTCGCTGTCTGGCCAATCCTTCAAATCAAAGTACAAGCGCGCGTACTCGAGGAGCCTGTCCGAGTCAGAGCGTCAATGTACAAATTTGCATCAACATATCAATCAACAGTGCTAAGAAGCGTACGTACCATCCTGGTTGGACACCTGTGACGGTCCGTATATACGGTCTGTTCGTGACCACAAACTCGTTGAAAATCACCCACTCCGGCTGTGTATCCAGTCTGCACGATGGATGCAGCACTACGGGCTACCACCAAGAACGTTTTTAATCAGCACGTCAACCACAACTCAAAGCCAAGATAATATACCTGATTGTTCACAGTCATGTAATTCCTCTTCCCTCCCACCTTGTGTGCAACTTGCATGAAAAAGCCACAGCACAACGCCTGCTTGATTGCCAGAGACATCCCGATCTGATCTTGCACGCTTACGATGTCCACCTCGAACCGCCCCATCGTTCGTTCCAGCTGCTCGCGCACGTTAACTGCTTGCAGCAGCGCTGGAGCGGAGAGGTAGTGATTATATGTCCAGTCTTTGTCGTGTTGGTCTGGGGTGGTTGGTTGCGAGTGAGGACGTAGGTGTTTGTAGGAAGTGGAGACTTACTTCGAATGTACTCGTTGTACACGTTAAGAAGCATCAGGTGGTCGCCACCGGGGACGGTAAGCATCGCCTTTGCAGCATCCGCCTCTTCTCGCTTGTTAGTTGGCCGCAGCCATACATTTGGCACTACAAGAACGTCAGATGAGAGCGAACTTCCAAGATGAGTGCGCACCTGACAGCATCGAAGTGATCGTCAATATCTCATTGCTACACTTAAACTCTGGGCTGATGATCAGCATCTTTGAGAGCTGGGGGCATGGATCAGAACCG